ACAACTGACAGGTCGAGACACGTTCGCGCTTATTCGTAGGCACAAAGTGCGTTGGAATTAGCGTGGTAAGTCGAATAGGTTCTATGTAATTACGCTGTTAGTATTTACCCCTGTTAAAACCAGCCCCAGTCTCCCCTACTAACATCTGGGTTATAATTATACACCTACGCTTATGGTAAGTCAATAAATAAATTGCCATAACACTACGATTTATTTTTAATAGTGACTATAGTCACCATACGCCATCGAGCGGAAAAGGTAATTTATTTTATAATAAAATATCACCAACATGTTTATACTAATCTAGATTTGTACAACAATTAGTAATTAAATAATTCATTTCCATGGCATTAACCAATTTTAAGCATAGACAAAATGGGTACTGCTAATTTGGTTTGAGTGTATTGCATGAATTGTATCAAACATTTTAATTCAAATCAAACATTTTAATAATTTAAAAATAAATACCGTTATTGGATAGTGATCGATCCCAGCATTCCTCTAGTTAATTACGTTGCATGTATCTGCTGTATTTTACGTAATTGTATTACTGGATAGGTAATTAAACTTTTGCTGGTAATTTGATTGTTAAAATAGATATTTACCTAGCCCATAACATATTTTATGACTATGTCATAAATTCCTGTCATATTTCTATGCGCAGACCAGATTAACTTTCAGTATAAAATAAATTATTNTGAGAAAATATAAAGTAAACACTTCATATTTAAGCACAATCTAAATAGATACTTTGTTTGAAATTAATAATGTTCCGTGAGTTAATTTATAACTTTAACTTATACGTGTACCTACTGACTTCTTTTTTTTTTTTTTTTTATACACTCCTTTTTAATCCTCGTCGCCATTGTATTGTACACCTTTATCTCCGCCATTAGATTATTATTTGGCTCGCCTACGCACACAGCACGACCTGCCCGCACCACGGTCGGACGCCGAATGCCCCCACCGCTGACTGGGCTGTGACGTATGCGCTCGAGACAAATGTCTATACACTACAGTACCCGTGTGAAGCCGGGGCGGGTCGCTAGTGTAAAATAAAATACATCTAATGTAAATAAATTAAATCTTACCTTCTTGAAAGTCTAACTTTAGCTTGATTTAGCCAATCACTTATAATTTCTTTTAGGCTGTCTTCAGTTACATCTTCGTAGATTTTTCTACATATTTCTGAAAAATAAAATAGAAATAATTAACACTAACAAACACGAATGATTCAGAAAATAATAGTAGTAGGCGTATTGAGAGACGATATACAGGTGTATCTAAATGAATTCATTGGCAACCTTGCAGGGGGTGGCTCAGACCATCATTATGAACAACTTTGTTTTCGTGATCAGTTTTTGTATGAAAACAGGAAAAAAAATCGCGATCCCAGCATTGGTCATAGGAAAAGTTCATAATGATGGTCTGAGCCACCCCCTGCAAGGTTGCCAATGAATTCATTTACACCCTGATAAGTTTGTAATAAAATAAAGGTACTTACGAAAGATTAATTTATAGGTTTCTGTACTCATAAATGATTTTTTATTCGAATTTTTCATCTGTTTCCCAGTTAACGAATACAACTCGGCTACATCATCTAGAATTATTCGTCTCAACATATTAGTCGTAAGGCTTCTTACATTTCTGCCGCCAATACCAGACAAAAATGACATCTGAAATTTAATTAAATCAGCATTAGAACGTTTTCATATAATAATAAAATTTGCCCTGTGTTTTAAGTATTTAATTTATACATACTATTGCCTGTTTATCCTTCTTTATTTTTAAATGGTCATCGAAATTATTAAAACTTGCAATATCTTTTACTGGTAGACTTGCCAAAAGTTCTGAAAGACCTGGATTGTCATCTGTTGGTGAAAATGTTTCTCCGGACCTAGCTAACAGTAAATCCAATTTTCTATTGATTTCAGCCATTTGGTTAGCTAGGTCTGACACAATCTGAATCATATGACTCTGCTGTATAGCATATTGCTTGTTTGTAATGCACTCTGTAACAAATAAAAAAACATGGAAAAGCCATAACTAAAACAAGTGAAAATATGAAATTTTGTCGCATTGCATCTTTGACGAGAGAAGCTCATTGCATGTTATATAAAACCTGTTACCTGATTGGCAGTTAACAGCTTTGAGTTGCGTTTTCTTGGCCTCTTTAGAACCGGAGGTGACTGGGTAATTTACAGCAGGCATTATGTCCACTGTCACTTCATTTGTAACATCATTTTCTGCTTCAGCTATTTGACAGGCATGCAACAAAAAAATATTAATTAAATTATGAATGCCTCATGCATAATAAAAATATTAAAATAAATTGTTATATTTACCGGGTAGACAGTGTGGGGCTTCTTCAGTAGGGCAATTTATAGTTGTGTTAACCTTGTCTGTAGGAAGTTCAACCTCATCTGCAATAGGAATTAATAATAATGTATAAGCAGCATCAAGGCTTATATTTTACACAAAAATAAATATGAGATTTATAGTTACCATATGTATAGATTTCAACATCACTAGAGCAGGGTAGACTTCTTGGACTAGTGATGACATCTATAGCAGAGATTTGAGTTTCTGTAACATTTTCAGTTACAATATTTTTACCAACTGCTTTGGATTTTGGAGGAGTTGGATATTCTGAATACTCTTTTTTTTTGTTGATATGGCGAGCATTGGTCATCTTTAAAGGTAGGCAATCATTAGATGAATTCGAATCATCTGAGACATAAACCCTATTAATTTTTCTTTTTCTTTTTTTTATTTCTTCGTCTGAGTCCAAATTTGAGGTTTCTTCCGCTTTTTTTAAATGTAATCGTGCTTCGCCATAAGTTTCTGAAATAAATAAAAAAGTCTCACAATAGTAAAATCTAGTTAATTTATACAGGGTGTTAGGTAAATGGGCGTATAAATGGTATGGGAATCGGATTTTATAAAATTTATTTTGTATGAAAATTAAAAATATTAAAATGATGATATCAAATTTCTGACTTCACCATACCATTTATATGCCCATGTTAACATGGGCTAGTGTCGGCTCATATACCCATTTACCTAACACCCCGTATAACTTAGCAATACAAAAGTAAAGAAAATTATTTTACCATAACTTTTAAGTATTTTTATTTGATATTGTGACCATGTTGCTTCAGGTGCAGCCATCTTCTTTAAAAGTTTGTTTTTGATTTCTTCAGTGCGTACATTAGGGTAATAACAAGTGTTGGTATCTATTAACCACTTTGATGAAACTATGCCAGGAGCATCATCTTCATCTAAAAATGTAACCAAAAAAAAATTTTTTGATTCCATTATGCAGTCTGAAACCAAATAACATACTATTAATTATAATTATATTATATAATATAATAGATAGGTATGTAGGAGGAAAATTATGTTACCTTTGCTAAGACATAACTAACGATTTAAAGAATTAAACGAGGTAGGATAAAAGTACATGATAAGGTGGATAGGATGTTTAGGGGGTATTTTATATTTACATTTACAATTTTGAAGTGCTATGAGTGTAGCATTTTCATAGCAACATGATAATTTTTGAAAGGAAAAACTATGACTTTTCCATCAATGTCAGTCACTGGTTTTTCACATAGCTGTAATTTGTTTTTTACAATATAAATTTCTATTTGTGAGCTTTCTATTAGTGGTGCAGAAAAGAAGTTTTCTTTTGTGGCAAACTCTTGACATAGTATGACCATACCTTGTATGTTATTAGAAAATACAATATTGCACACGGTTACTACACTACCATCTTTTAAAACACAATAACAGTTTGGATGTTCTGTGGTTATTTCAAATGAATGAAATTTTACTGATTTGAATTGTTGAGATTTATCACAGCCAGTCCATAGTAAATCAGATACGTGAGGTTTAGAGTAATGTGGAAGAGTAGAATCACATGGTGATATATTTTTTACCCACAAGTCAGTATTTGATATTTCCCCAAACCTTTTCATTATTTGCTGGAGGGGTTTGTCCCCTTTTCTGATATTTTTTTTGAAAATCTGTAAAAAGTTTTCAAAGGGAAAAGCAGAACAGGAATCAAGTGCACCAAATTCAAATACATCATCATTAAGATGTGTGAGACCATGTAAATTATAAGTTGCAAACTGTGGACCATATAAAGCTATAAAGGTTTTCACAAAATGTTTTAAAAGATTCTTGGCATAATGGTTATATTCTATACAATATTTAGGATTTAATAATATACTGATAGAAACAGTGAGACTAAGAAAATTGTTATAATATTCTACATAGTCTGATTTCAATTTTAACAGCACTATTGGCCCTGTATACAGGAGAAATTGTCGAAATTCAGTTGCTTTCCACCTTCTTACATCTTCCAAAGAGCGTGGTTTCCTATTAAACTCTGATGGCATATATTCAGCAAGAGCAACAAGATCATTGCTAATGTTATTTAAAACTTGTCCAGGTAGTTTTATTGGTACTGGTCCAAACATCCATAAATAAATGAGACTACGCACAACTCCAAGGCAAACAAGGTGCATGTAATCTAATGGGAATGATTTGATAAAATTTATTCCTGGAATATCAGTTAAGGGAGTTCTGAATTTGTGAAAATCTTCATCAACCATTTGAAGAAACTCTTCATGGGTTCTAAGTGGCGCATCACATTCAGGAAATGTCATACGGTTTTGTAAATATGTACCACACTGTTTACATTTTGTGCAAGAATAATAACCTGTATGTCCCTTGACTCCTAATAAAAATGATTTTGCAGGAGCATCACAAACAAAACCTTTTATGGCAACTTTAATGTTTTTACCCCTAACATTCAAACCTGACTCAGTCAAGTTGACCACCTCAGTCACAAATTCTTCCATAAATGATGTGCAGCTGCTAGGCTTTTTAGTACCACAATAAACACCAATAGGGAAAACTACTGACTTGACCGAAGGAATATTGTAAACTAAACCTAAAATGGGCCAGAACTCAGTTGCACTACTTTTGAACAAAGGTACTCCATCAATATTAATGAGTAAAAGAATTTCAGTAACACTTTCAGTAACATATTCCCATATTTTTTTCAAATTCTTCTCTAAGCCTATATGTGAGTATTGCCCAGGTTGAACTATTCGAGTAATGATATTTGTTGGAGTTTTTAGTAAGGTTCTTGCATCTGCTGGCAAGTCAAAACACTTGTGATCTTTTAAAATGTTCAACAATGCAGTAGTGGCAACATGTGTCACTTGGTATTTAAGAGCCCAATGTCTTAAATTAGTAACAATAGTATCATTCACATCTCCAGAAGTCACTTGATTTTCATGTTCACCATCCGATGAAGAACTTTTGTCAATTATATTATGGTTAGTAGAATAATTGTCATTGAACGGGCAATGTTCTTGGATTAGAGGAGAGATGGAATCATGAGGAAATGGACTTGGAACAATATTTTCATCAGCTGCTTGCACAGCTTCTTCGCAAGTAAATGAAACATCTTCTTCAGAGTGGTTACCACTGATAGAACTATATGCATGACTAAGTTTCATTTCTCTTCTAATTCTTTTTAACTGGCCTTGCCTAGTCATTTTCAAATATGGTTTCCGAGACATGTTGGTTGCCCTTAAAGAAAATTTTTTATTATCATACTTTAAAATCAATAAAATAATTATCATGCAGAAGCCGTAGCCCTTGAACTCTCCATACCACGCAAACTAAGATTATTAATTTTATACAGTTTTACAGTAAGGAGGGCATAGAAATTTCATATGGTACCTTGGGTATCTGTGAGGGATTTTAAGTTTAAATTTAGAAAGTAGATTGGGGCTACCTTACAGTTTAAAATTCTGAACAAAAAAGTTAAATCATGGGTAGATCTACATGCTTCTAGGGATTTTATTTTAAAGTGAGCAAGACGCTTTGTATAACTAGGAATCTTTCAGAATCAGGAAATTATTTATTAAAATAAACTTTGTTATAAAGTGCTTCTGAATAAATCAAACATTTTCGGCCCAGGAACACTATGATCTCATGCAAAAATAACTCACCAACTGTAGAATGCAAAAAAATCTATTTGAACCATTCACAATGCCAATTAAATTCAATTTGTTTTGATTAGACAACTAGATAACCATGAAATGCACTAGAACCCGAATACATACAATTTGGGTACAGCAATTAATTTATTTTATTTGAGGGTATTTGTTAATTTTAGACGTTCTATTTAAGCATTATTTTCCAATTGCAGTGCAAGACAGAGTCCACGATGTACATTTACAACTTACAATTAACACCTTTCTGTTACACATAGTTAGAAATAAACATTGAGTTATGCATAACTAAACAGGATCGAACATGCAGGAACTAGGTATTTAGGGTTAGGAACACGTTGCCTGGGTTTGAAAGTAGGTAAATAAGGTTTATTGGATAGGTAAGAACTACATATCATTAATTCTGTTTGTAAAAGTAAAAATAAATAAACTAACCTTTAATCTTCAGCACGTCACGCGCTGAATTCGCACAACAGAAGCGTTTATTAAATAAAACAGCACCGTGCAAAACAAAAAAACTTGTAGGTACTACGACTGATTTTGTCAGTGTTGCCAGTCGGGTCTTGTCAGAAATTACCAGAAATATAAAAAATGTAACCTTTTTGATGAATAAAAAGTAACCTTCATACGGGGTGGGGGGGTGTGCGGAGCGATTGTGTAAGGTTGTTCATGGATGGAAAATGAATACAATTGATCATCAATCGTTTACCTAAATTCGAAATTTTGACCATTCCATGAAGACCGAAAAGAGTGACCGGTCGTATAAAACCGTTTCATGGATTTGCGTTTTATTATCGAAAAACATTCGCTAAAACTCATTTTCTTTAACAAATAATAAATCAAATTCATNCTTGCTATCTGGGTGCGGTATTTCGGACGTGAGTAGGTATATCGCAAAGCTTCCCGAACGCTGCGAGTGCCGACCACGGGCTGGAAGACGTAGCGTGGTCAGGCCTCCAACTAGGTCAACTAGGTGGACCGACGATCTGGTGAAGGTCGTGGGGAGAGCCTGGATGCGGGCAGCGCAGGACCGTTCATTATGGAAAACCTTGGGGGAGGCCTTTGTCCAGCAGTGGACGTCAATTGGCTGAAACGACGACGACGACGAAGTAACAGTGCAGTGCCTTAGTAGGATAACCGCATCATTATTGTCATCATTTCGGTCACAGGACGTCCACTGTTGGACATAGGGGATCGTCCGACATTACACAAAAAATCGGGACAGCACAGTCATCCGGCAAGCGAATAGTCGTGGGTTCGATTCCCGGTTGAGGCAATGAGAGCTATCGTTTACTTAGCAGTTGGCACCACTGGCGATTGACATGACCCTACGCTAATGCACGTGCGATAGTCCTCTCCCACAGCTTCAGCACTCACCAGTTGGCGCCACTGTCTTCGCCACTACTAGGTGACAGTGACCTAAAGCTAAGCGTCCTCTTGTTGGTATCGTACGATGCGGATAGGTGGACGCACTTGTATGAGTTTCCATATAAATAATACTACGATTCGTTGCGTGCGATACCGACATGTGGACGCTAGCCTTAACTCTACGGTGCCGCGGTGGTGCCAAATAGCGAGCGCTAAAACGGCAGTCATTGTTTTTTACAGGCGCCAGGTTTATTTAAAATTTAAAATTAGAACGAAGAAAGCACAATACTTACAGCACATGCTGCACAACCTGTGGAAGTTCTGCCCTTCAACATCAACCTTATCCTCTGGGTCGATAGGCAGGAAGCAACGTGCACAAAAACATTTTTTTGGTTGTTCTTGTGATTTATCCATAATAATACCTCTAAATTTTGTTAAATTTTTAATTTAAAAACGATAATTTGTAAAGAAATTTTTAGAATCAGCAAGCTATTTTCATGACAGTTTTGTGTGATGGAAAAATTGGAATGAAAAAAAAGAGCGTGGTGGAGAAAAAAATAAGTTTGAATTTAGAATTTTCAAAGTTTCAAAGAAGATTGTTTGGGTATTGAATTTTCATGCTTTAAATTATTGACCAAGAGAGATATCACCCAAAATAGCGAGAAATGACCATGACCATAGTGTTGATTGTTTTATTCTTTTGTAATTTATGTGTTTGAAGCATACATGCAATAAAGATTTTGAATTTGAATTTGAATTTGAATTTGAATTATGAAATGAAAACATGTATTTTCCGGTGAGCTGCTGATGGCTTTCTAAAGATAGCTTACCGTTATTTTAAAAATCCCTTTGTTTATCTTATTAACTAACTTCGTAAATAGTTGGAAATTGGAAATAATCATTGATTCAAAGTTTCCGCAAAACTTTCAAATTCTGTATAACTCTTTAAAAAATCTACTCTACGAGTATTAAGATGTTGTAAATGAGTTAAATTAAATAATTATCGTTTTTCAAATCCATTTCAAATAAAATCGATTGTGTGATGTCACAGTACAACACTATTGCCAATGACGAATAGATTCGATTCACCGGTGTTGGCAGCATTAGTCAATTGCCTATGTGTGTCGCGACGACATTGTTTGTGTTATCTATCATGTTTTTATCAAAAAAGTGATGTTTATGGACTTGTTTGGATTTAAATATACGCATTTTCAGTGGTAAAGTATATCTTTTATCTTATCTCAACAGTTTTGTTTGATTAGACGTTCATTTATAAGACTTTTGTAGGTTATGTAGATTGGTATTTCGAGTCGGGTCAAGCCCATGTTTTTGCATTTTTGTGTTAGAAAATGCAGCTTATCGTTTGCGACAAGGCGTTTTATTGCTACAGCTTCAATGTCCTTCTATGACTGTGGACTTAAAAAGCTTGTTTAACCTTAATTTTAGATCTAAAATCTAAATCGCTACTGGTTTTCAACCGACGTCCTTTCTTACAGAAATGACCCAAATGTTTTGTTTTTCAATAAAAGTTGACCTTCGGAAGTGTTTAGAGTCGTCGGTTACAATTGGGCTTGCCTAAGACATGTTCTTTTATGTATTTAAGCTAAAGGTTACCAGGAAATTCTTCGATAAATATCTTTGAACATCATTATTCATTGATTGAGTCATGTTTTTTAGTTTGTTTTAACAGCAAACTGTTAATTTATGAGGTAATAATATTAATTTATACATTTTCCATATTTGCACATAAGCAACTAAGTATTCAATAACTTTACAAAGTCTAAAACTTTTAGAAACAAATAATATTATTAAAAAACTTTTCAAAATAGGTATTCTCATGCTTTTTAAGTATTATTTATTCCGTTTTTACAACTTTACAAATGCGGTGCAACTGCATGCAGGAGGATTTAATCAATGCTGCTGACAACACCACTCTTGTGGCAGAGTTTTGGGCTGACACTGTGTAGGTTTGTTGTCGACACTGTAAGAAGAATTATTCTCACTCAATCCCAAGGTTTATAATTTCATATACCGTGTAATGGCTATGCTCACGTGACATTGGCAAACGTGGAAACAATAGCCATAAGAGAAGAAGAAGAATTATTATTTACTTAAAACTCATTCATTTAACAAATATTTATAGACTTGAATATTCTTGAACATTTAACACTGCACACACCAATTTAATATTTAACAGTGTATAGATACTGCCCAAAATCACTGAAAATATTATTTTCTAAGTCTTGCTCCAAACTACAGTAGAATCCCGATTATCCGGATCAATTAAAACCAGGGGTGGTCCGGATAATCGAAAATCCGGATAATCGATTTCAAAGTAAAATCAAACAATAATTAACTTTTTACAACAGAAAGGGTTTTCAATACATCATTTTAGAGTCTAAAAATCTAAATTTTAGACCATTGGACATCCATTTCTTTTAAAAGACGTCCGTACTATGTTACGTTGGCGGCGCCTTCGGTTTTTATGGGTCCAGATCCTGAATCGGTAATTAGAAAATCTTGAAGAATGAGTCCGGATAATCGGATATCCGGATAATCGAAGTCCGGATAATCGAGATTCTACTGTATTTGTTTGATGAATCAAACATATGCAGAAGTGAGACGAGTGATAGACTAGGGGAAAAACATGGCACTTTACAGAAATGTTAATTTACATTTAACTAGCCTAGTGGTTTCTATTGACTTTGCATGCCAAGAATTTGTCTGTCATGAAATTTATCATTTCATCACAACTGGGAATCTTTTCCTTCGTTTTATGTAGCCTAGAGCTTTCCTCGATAAATGGGCTATCCAACACAAAAATATTTTTTCAAATCGGACCAGTAGTTCCTGAGATTGGCATGTTCAAACAAACAAACTCTTCAGCTTTATAATATTAAGTATAGATAGTAGATTGTGTTTGGATTAGATTAATGAATTATTGAGAAGTAATGATAAAAAGAAATTACTTTTATGTTCAGTCTTCTTATGTAGTTTCGTTAGTTAAATGTTCTTATAAATGTCCAATTGATTAATTAAACATCTATTAAAGTAATGGTATGTAAATAATTAGCTTATTTATTTAATTAAATTAATTTAGCTTAATTACATTAATTCAATATTGCAGCTTTTTTTTTATGAGCTGTCATAATGTGACTCTCATATAAGGACATAGCACACTTATCAATCCGGAAAGGGATCAGTTTTTAATTTTTCTAATTTGTTATGCCAAAGTAGGTATATTAGTATGTAATACATAAAAACAGTACAAAGTTTTAGTCTAATGCCCGTTTTCAGTCCAATCCCTAGTTTTTAAGTGACCCTATGGTAACACTTAACAGGAATTTTATTTTCACAGGGGTCACTTAAAAGTTAGGGATTGATGGTAAAAACGGGCATAAGTCTAAATATACCTATACAATAACTCAAAGGTGACTGACTGTGTCATAGTGATCTATCAACGCACAGCCCAAACCACTGAACGCAGGTAAGCTGAAATTTGGCGTGCAGGTAGATGTTATGACGTAGGCATCCGCTAAGAAAGGATTTAACGAAACTCCACCCCTAAGGGGGTAAAACAGGATCTTCGCGTACGAAGTCGCGGGTGGCCGCTAGTAACTTATAAATTCAAATTCTTTATTTTTAATTTTGTTTTTGTTACAGAATGGTCCACCTGAATGTCAAGAACAGAAAAATGTCCCGCCATGAGAAAGCGAAGAGTGGCTTTGTAAGTACTTTACATTTTTTAAATTTATTTCTAAGGTTCCTTAATACAGCGGAAGAAAAAAAAATTGAAGATAGTGTGGTACGGCCGTACCTTTTTTTCTCGACTTGGCGTGGGCACTACTGTGCTCCATTTGGGTCTATTGCAAAACGGCTAGGTCGCACGTATTTGTCCCTGATCAAAAATATTTATTTATTTATTTAAAATCTTTATTGCACCCACAAAAAAAAGCGGTACAATAGGGGAATTTAAATTTTTAAATTTAAAGTTATAGCGTAAAATGTTACCATGGTCTACCATAGTAGGCCGCGCGTGTACTCTAGTGTTAACGCCATATTTCTGGGCAAAATTTTATTTATTTATAAGTTTTATGAGATAATATAAATTTCCCATTCCAATTTTTATTCCCTAAGCACCCACGTTATTTTTTTTATTGCCATGTAGTTCTTACAATAAGTTTTACGTTACGTTTACGTTATATTACATTCCTACGTATATTTACCGCTGAATGGTCACCTGAAACCGGCAGTGTGGCTACCGTAAACAAAGAGATTGATAATAATCTTTTATCTTTACGATTTTTCAGTTTTCAGTCGGTATTCGGTACGCAATCAGTGCTGTCGTTAGTGAAAATATTGTTTAATGTTTTTCATCGTGGCATTCGAACTTGGTAGAATCAGTTGTGTGAAAGTTTTGTGTATGTTTCTATTCAAAATATGTAACTAGATTAACGCCTGCGGCTTTGCTCGCGTGGCGTGGCTTACATCCCCTTGTTCCTCCATACATACAGTGAACCCCCTTTTCATCCCCTTAGTGGGTTGAATTTTGGCAAATCTTTTCTTAGTAGATAAATAATACTCCTTCGGCAGTCGGTTAAATATCTCTTAACAAAACCACCTGTTGAGAATAAAGTAGTAACTCGCACTTACGTTATCAAGTGTTGTAGCGTAAGAAAAATGTGTCACTATGTTTGCTTGCGACCTTGGAGGTGAACAATACCTTGCTCGAATAAGTTGTTTCTTAGTAATTACTATCTTTATTTAGTGTCAGTGGTACTCAAACTCAAGACTTTTCACGAAGAAGAATAATTTAGAAGACCCCCTCTAGAATTTTTCACAAAGCGTGGATAAATGGATACGGGACTATTCCCACCTCTCGTTCCCACCGCTGCAACTCCTGTGTAGCCAGGATCTACAGCTTGACCGCCGATAACCCAACCAGTGAAGGCCAAGTTTGTCCCGGAGGAAAGATAAACTGTCACTGGACCTGCAACGAAATTAATCAGAATGGTACGGTGACATTTGGTTAAACGCAGTTTGTAAGGGGATGGGTTATAGTTATAAATACAATTCCCCCAAAATATATATATAACCTGTCTTGAAAGTTTGAAAGTGAAACCAAAGGGGGCTTTCCAAATTCTCAAAATGTGGTACGTGGTTACGAAATTAATAAAGTTTGGGAACCTCTGGTTCTAAGTTAATTGCTTTCGTTTGAAAACCACTTGTGTAACAATCAGGGTTCGAGGATATATATCAAGATATATATCGGATATATATCCGATATATATCAAGCCGGTTTTGACGATATATATCAATTTTTAAAATTTGATACTGTATTTGTACTTTTGACATAAGATTTTTATTTTTTTAGTTGATTTTGCCGTATTTAAAAGAAGATTTTATGTTTTTGCTTTATTTGTCTGATTTTAAGTTTTAAAAACATTAAAAACATGTTTATGTAACACATATGCAATAGTATTCATAAATAATACAATAAAATAATAGTATAGCTTTCATACAAAATTGATATATATCAAAGTTGATATACAGGGTGTTTGGCGCATCGTGTGCCAAAATGATTTGGCGGATAGAATGGGTCATTTCCTANTATTTTCCATCCCAATAGTACGCCGGCTGCGCTCGATTCGGATATTACAGAAGCTTAAAGTTGCACAGCGTGCTATGGAGAGGGCTATATATGCTCGGTGTTTCTTTACGAGATCGAATCAGAAATGAGGAGATCCGTAAACGAACTAAAGTCGCTGACATAGCCCGACGGATTAGCAAGCTGAAGTGGCAGTGGGCAGGGTACATAGTACGCAGAACTGACGGCCGATGGGGCAGCAAGGTTCTGGAATGGAGGCCGCGTACCGGAAAAGACGATAGTTACAAGAAAACCCTAAGAACTCTGGCGGGAAAGCCTTTATAATATTTTGGGCAGAGAAAGCGTACCTATTAATTATCTTGAAGCGGGAATTAAACACAAAATCAAAGCGATTTATTATTAAAATATTGCGTATCTTATCAAAGAAGATGAACAGACACTCACATGACATGAGAACAAATGTTGGTCTAGCAATGACCTCGATGATCTTCAGTGTTTTATCAGAAGGCATATCTTCAGGTTTGCGGTTCTTGATCACTTCCAAAATAATATGGATGGCAGGGGTGCATTGAATGGGATACGCCAGCGCCACCGCCGCTAAGTATAAGCCTATAGCGACCAAAGCCGAGCTGTAGAAAAAAGATACAAAATTGCATAAGTTTAGGTACTTGATTCCTTATTTTTTTAAAGATATAGTTACTGTGTGTTTGTATCAGCAAAACTTGGAGCGAGAACAAACGCGAAGCTCTTAAGACCGAACGCAATGGAGGACTGTTGTGGACGCCCTCTGCCCCATCTAGGGGATATAGGACATAAGTGTGTTTGTATGCGATTTTAAATACTAACGGGTCATCAAAAGGAAGTGATCTCAGGACGTTTTCCTCCATCGCACCGAACGACCAGTATCCTAGCCCGCCGAGAACTATTGAGACCGCCGCGGGGATGGTTATACCAACTCGGATCACTCCGAACTTTTTCGTGAGCACTTTAGGGTCGACTATTGCTCTGTCTATGGCGAGAATCTGAAGGAAAAAGATAGGCGCATAATACTAAATTGGTGTCTTTCAACGTTATGAGAATGCAGAGAGTATAAAAAAGACGGCAAATAATAAAAAGTTTACCACACCGACTGCACTCAAGTTGAACAAACATGTCCCAAACGAAAAAAGAACTGGTAAAACTCTAGTTGTAGCGATGGTCAGGGAATCGCCTTGGGGATCTTTAAAAACGTGGTAGAACACTAAAATTAGCCCCACCAAGTTCATTACATTTCCTGCAAAAATAGCGCACATGTTAAAACAGCATTTTCAGAAGCATTTAGAGCATTGGTTCCCAGAGTGGGGAGCGCCCGCAAGGGGAGCAACTTATAACACATTAGTTTACTAACCACACATAGAAACGTAACCCACAATCTTCAATGTGGTCATGTAGAACTCCATCAATAAATAAGGAAATAGTAACACAAGCAACGCCGGCTTTGAGGATTCCCAGTCCATTATCTACAAAAAGAAGAACCATTTTTGATACCGACCGGACAGTGGCCTGGGCTTAAGGGCCGGTTTCCACCAAAGGCGGAGCGGAGAAGAGGGGAGTGACAGGCGGACGAATTTTTCTATCGAACTCGACAGCGGCGCACGGCGCGGCACGGAGCGGAAAAAGAAGTAGGAATAATGAAAGATTGGTGATCTAAAAGAAATACTTCTCCGCTACGCATTGGACAAACCGAGCCTAAGACCTTTACAAAAAAAATAATTATTATTGTAACGGAATAGTCACTAACGTCTCGTAAACTATCTGAAGTGAATGTGACGAATACAGTGCATATTCCCAGTTGACTCAACACCATAAAAGTTGCAACTAACGCTCTGAAACAAAAATATGCACTTTTAAGATTAACAGAATAATTCGTAATATCAATAAAATATTCGCTTAAAGAAATGCCGTGCCTACAAATACTTATGCGAAACTGCGAGCTGGCAGTTGGCACTAGCACTACCCACCATAAACTTTTAACCTTTAGCTACTGAGGTGGATTTAATTTCACGTAAACACTGACGTGGGGGCCTGAGAGGCCCGTACATATGTGTGCTTATATTTAAAAATATATAATCTTTTTAGGGTTTTATGTTTAATAATTATTAATAGTGGTTCTATTTAAATACCATAAAAAGATTTTTATGTAAATTATTTGTTAATAAGTACGTATTATTTCAATATTTAAAAAACGTGTAGCATTTTTGGCAAAAATCTCATGAAATCATGATTCACAAAGTTATCATGAAAAATATTCATAAATTCAACAAATCAACTTAGAATCTTAATTTTCAATAGTCTTTTTAGCTAATGATAAATCAGTAATCCTAATATGAAATCGGGGGAAAAAAATTACACTCATCAAATAGTGCGAACTAAACACAGTCTGGATAAACTTGCTTTGCTCAGTGAAGGAAGCCATACATGTTTTTAAAATGTAGATTTCATTTGAATCTTCAAAATACATGTATGGCACTTGGTTTCATCGTTTAAATCTTGATAGACAGGTACAGGCTTATCATTTCCTAGCATACGTGCCAAAAACTACTGTTCTTCTATTTTTCGTTAAATGCTGGTTATTTTTACTTACGAGATACCCCTTTCTCTCGGACGGCGTATTGTGGGCTCCATATTATAGATTTTTTAAAATTATTTCAAGAAAAGACGACAACTACTTGAAAACTATAGACAAAAAAAGTTACGCCAATACTGAGGTGGGGGCCTGAGAGGCCCACAAGAAACTTTAAAATTAATTTACCTACTGAAATTGCGCGTGCAATCACGTGCACAGTTGTTGACAGCCTCGGCGCAATGAAACTCGAAGGTACTAAAAGATTCGGGTGTGTCGTGCACGTGGGAGAGGAGAAATTCAACAATTTGACTTTTGCAAGGCCTGAGAGGCCCCCACGTCAGTAGTTAAAGGTTAACTTTTTTAATTAGCGTACAGTACAGTCGCGTACAGTACCCGGAGCACAAATAAATATCGAAAATATCGCGCTTGCTAGGTATGCTAATAGATTTTTTAATGAGTTTTTCTTGATTCTTGTATGATACTTAGAGGTTTTGTTGGTTAAGATTTGTGATGACTCTATAATTAATTAAATGCTTTACATTAGATAGATAAGTACTTACGGGCCGCGATTCCCAATACATCGGAATATCGGTGGACCATTCAGGACCGCCATACGAAAACCGTATCTGTACGAGATATGAGGTATCCTTAACTGGCGGCTGACTTCATTTAAGCAGTTAAGCTGGAATCATCAAAATTCTTATAAAATTCACATTTCCTGAAATTAGATAGGTGCTTATCAAGGAGAGATTCGGAGGTTTATGATTTATCTGAAGCTATTATTTTAAAAGTTATGCATAGAGTTTGTTACCAGTGTTAAATGCATGTGCACGATAAGAATGCCAGCAAAGGTAATAAGCAGAGGGCCGAGCACGATGCCAACCTGACTGACAGCAAGAGGCATTCCTAGCATGCCCGCACCAAACATAGATCTAATAAGGTTCACGTACGCCATTTTTGTCCTGTGAACGAGGTTTATTATACTGTTTTAAGAAATAATATTAAATTACGCAATGTTGTAAAAGTCGTGACACAAGCATACCCAATTGGCGATCTTGGTTCCCTATGCTCTCTGGGGTCGAAGTCGTCGTCGAGTGATGGGTTTCTTGAGGGTAGACGGGCCAATCGTATGTCTACAGATGATCGTTCGTCTAACCGTTTTATTGTAGTTTTGCTTACAGCTTCAAAAGCGGCCCTGTAAATAAAGAAAACGCAAAATTATTTTAGAGTTTATTTTGCCTGAGGGTAAACACAAAACATAAAAGAATGCTAACGAACATGTCGTTAAATCTTGAACAGCTTATTAGGACGAATGATTTTGACGACCGATGATAACATTCCTAAATAAATTCTAGAATATGATCTAAACTTTAAGGAAATAGTTAGGGTAACCCTAAATTAATTTAGTTGCCCAATTTTGACTTTAGATTTCTTTCATGTAGTTGACTTGGATTGTGATTGGTAGATGAAACGTTTTTACCAAAAAGGTATATTTTGGTCTTGAAGACTTGTTTTCTGTATGTCATAGCTTGTGCCTACTGTACAGAAATAAAGAAAACAAAATGTCACTAACTGAATGTCACATGTCACATCTGTCAACTCAGCTGGTTTTTTGTCTATGGCTCGAAAATTTGACAGCTTTCGTATTGGTGAAGGCGGAATAGATTCATTTCGTTTCTTATTTTCATGATCTATTACTTTTTAGTGTGTAATACATCTTCAAAATATGATGTCCACTACAGAAGGAGAACTAGACATCGAGGTATCCCATGAACGGGAAGAGGGAGAGGTTAGAAAACAAGTTTTATATCAAGCGTCTTTGTGCAGTTTTTTGGTTTTAGCTTCTAACTGAATGTTTGTAGGCCAACAAAATTCACACCTTTGAGTCTTTAAGGGTTTGAAACATTGTACTGATTAGGAAGTGAACTTTATTACTAATACAAGAGAAACTTTCGTGTCATGACGCTTGGGCGTAGATTAAAGACTTATAAAAAATGTTTGTCCGTTTCAGTTGGAGGATTCTGATGTGGAAGAGGGTACTTATATACCGTTGACCCGTCCGGAGGCCTTCAACCCGCCTTCTCTGGTTAATATGCAAATACAAGACGAGCAGAGTGACGAGGCGTCGTCTCACGAGTCGACGGCATCGGACTCGGACGAGGAGCCGCGGCGTCGGCCCAAGCGCACTAAGCTGCGCCTGCGCCGGCCCCAGCCCCAGGGCCAGCCGGACAAAAAAGACAAATACAACGTTTGGTGCAAGGCTTTGCAGGTATACACCGAAGATTTTACTGTTCAAAAAGTGCCTATCTAGATGGCTATGCCTTCAACTAAGTATTATTTTCTTACCCGATTTTTTTCATTATAGGAAGATCTGTTAACAGAAGACATGGTCAGCTGTGATGTTACAAAAAAAAGTGATTATGGTGTTGAATCTTATGACTACACAATTAAGTATAGATTAGACGATAATTATATCTCTAAGAAAGTATTTACAAATGATAAAGACTTAGATATTGATCGCACATCAAATAAGCGGAGGCATGTGGACCGGACCAATGTTAAGCTGAGGTTAGGCAAACGATTCAATGCCCACCAGGAGATGAGGGCAAAAGAAAAGCCACGGTATTTGCCAGATTTAGTGATGACGTCGCAAGATCCTATCGATCAAATTGCCAATGAAATAGCTGTAAACTTGGATGAAGAAAAGAAGGAATTAGTTGGTAAGTAAATTATAACATTTGAAAGAATAATAAGATAGAGCTATGTACTTATTGACTGTAAAATGGCTGATATAAAACAATATCTTGATACTAATAATCACAGGTGCCTAATAAAGATCATTAAGCTTTTCTTACTAAGATTTTTGTTATAAAATTAATCTACAACTGTTCATTTTATTTTACAGTAAGGATTGTACAAGTATTAGGTGCACACAAAGCTATGGAAATATACAAAGACACACAGAGGGTTGAAGCGGATGGTGGGATGCTTGTTATGGTAAGTCCTTTTGCCATTTGTTTTATATGTAGTACTTACAAAACAATCTATTGGCTTCTGGTTTATATTTCTTCTTCTTGCATCTCTAGTGTCCAGTTGATTTTTGGTAACTTTTCGTTGCGGGTCCAATGACAGCTTAACTTTGCCCTGGGACAAACTTTACCTTCACTGGTTGGGTTTTTATTGTCGATCAAGCTGCAGATCCTGGCTACACAGGAGTTGCAGCTGTGGGAACGAGAGGTTCCCGTAACTGTTTTAGTATTATGGATATTACCTTTCTATTTTTTTATTTACAGAATGGTACACGTCGTCGCACGCCAGGCGGTATTTACTTCTTCCTTCTAAAGCGCGACAACGACGTCTCCCAAGAGATGGTGAACCAGATCTTCATAGAGGACCGCAAAGAGACCGTGCGTAAGATCAAGAAGTCCAGGGCGAAGACCCGCCAGAAGGTCATGGAGCAGCTTAAACAGAGTCTCACTGGTAAGTTTAAAAGAAAACCTGTAGGCCTGGGAATCCTGGGATGCGCGCCGTGATAAGCGGTTATCACGCTATTTTATCGATTTCGCTCATACATTTTGAAGTCGATAAAATATATCGCGGCGCGCATCCTTGCCCTTGAGGTTGTCAATTTGTTTTTTCTAATGGGAAACAAACGTCCTAAGGACAGTCTTTTGATTATATTAATAGGGTAGTCTACACTAACAGTTAAATGACACACTAAATAGACCTCAGAATGTAATCTCTAGCCAAAAGAAATCTGATTTCACTCAGGTTACCAACTCAAAATAATTAGTTTTAGGGTATTGAAATGTTAGGGTTTTTAAAGAGCTGTGGTGTCTTGAAATTGCTTGTTAAGGCAACTACCCAATTTAGGGCTTAAGTTCTTCTTTTTCTCCTCTGTGGCTATTGTGTTTTTCCACATTTGCCTATGTCACGTGATCATAGCCATTACATGGTATATTAAATTAAAAACCTTAGGATCGAGTGCTGTCATTTTTGTCTATGCTTTCAGATTCCGAGCTCCCATCGTTACTATCCAGAGGCGAGGCGACCGTCCAATCTGAACACGGCTCAAACCCGCCGCCGTCGCCCGCCACCGATGCGCGGGAGTGTTCCAGCGACACCGACGCGCACGACCTTGACGCAGCCTCCCCCGCGCGACCCCTCTCCCCCCTTCCCGACCGGACGGGCCGCAACATTCAAGAATACGAAGACGACGACTTCCTCGAAGTCATGTGCAACGACGATATGGACTTGTTCTAATTGGTGCCCACTTTAACGCTGCTAGTTGGTAAGTCGAACCGTTTCGGATGAGTGGCCGATGTACGTCACTGTTAAGGGTTAGTGAAACGCCTGTATGGACCTATTCGCGAGGCCTAAGAACTGACTGATCCAGTCTTAAATTTTAGATAGATTTTCTAAATCACTGTGACTAAAATAAAATTTTGAAATCGACCCAAAGTTAAACGCGATATTGGTGATGTTAAAATTAAAACTTGCCAAAATTCAGATGTTACAGTCTCGAATGTTAGCGTTGCAAGCTGCGATGCCTGTGTATAAGGCTGAATGCCCTTACTCTGAAATCTAAAATAGTTACCTAGAATAAGTCTTGATTTTACACCTTTATAAATAAAGGGCTTCTGTATTTATTTTATTATTTGCGTCATTTCATTGCACCCTCCATAAAATGATCAACGTACAGGAACCTAGCACCGAGTGGTGGATTTTAAATAGGTATAGGTTTGTAAAAGCCGTCAAAAATAAAACCCGTCTTTTGTTTGACTATCGAGTAAAATACCATGTTGGGCGCCACTTTTACATGTGTGAAAATACCTGGCAAAGGCCTTATCGGTCGATTCGAGCAGTTAAAATGGGATGAGCTATTAATTTTTATAGACTAGATTACAAAATACGCTCATAACTTGGCATAGTGCCTCAAAGCTCTTTTGCAGTGTATGTATGTACATGTGTTTTATTTTCTTTTATTACCTCTACTTCATTTCAGTTAAAAATAAGCAACTTGTTATTTCTGTAAAATATTTTGTTATGCACTTACTTGTATTTATATCTTTTTGTTAATTTAAGTTCACGATTAGAAATTGTCTATTCAATAGAATAAGAAATTGGTATCACTTGTGCAGTGCATAAAGTGATATTAACAAATGAGAAAATCATGTTAAGTGTGTTCTATAAGGATTTCGTAGGAATGGTCTGAATGTATTTTGGCCAGTATTGGAGAAATGAATTTGTCAGGAATACTTCTATGTCAATATTATGGTGCCCCATTTTAAAAATGTATATTTTAAATCTTGGGCCGTGAAGATCACGACCTATATTAACGAAATATACGCACACTGTTACATACTATAAAGCGGGAGGGTATTAATATACTTTTGACGATGCTATTAGGCAAATTGCCTAAAGATCTGTAAGTATGTTTTGAATGTTCTTGGTTGATGCTATAACCTGGAAGCAAATAATCTGTTTATGTATTAAGTAATATCATACTTGTCACTATTACCATACATACCAAAGCATCAAAATCTCCTGAACTAGGTGGACAGAACACAAACTACTATAAAACCACTATTGTTTACACTTTGATCTCAAAATGAGGATTGAAAAGGAATTGGAATTCTTACTATTGGTTAACCACACTGTACACATTATTAGAATGTAAAAGTAGGGATAAAAAAATGAACATATTGTGAATCTGTTTACAATGTAAATTAACTTGTAATTTATAAACAAGATGAGCGATTTGTAAATTGGGCATTATGGTGTTCACATCCGCCTAAAAATATTTTTTATAACTGAATCCCAACTGTGGGTCAAATATCTTTGGCTGTAAAAATAGCTGTAGTAGTAGACAATAATAGCTTACTATCGTATGTGATCGGCGCACCCAGAGCTGTTGGCAGAAGCGAACATATTTTAGAATTTAGCTGAAATCAAAATTATTGCTGATTGAGGTGTATTCCTAAAATTAAAAGAAAAATAAAATATAAATAGTCCTAAAAATTTTACTATATTTTTTGGCAAATTAAATGATTGGAGTAGGCTGGTTGTTCTTCAGTATGTGATTACTATGCTATCACAACCTCTTCTAGTGATTGTAAAACGTAATTAATTAGGCACGTGCACATTTTGTAAATGATTTAATTTAAAGGTATTTTATGTTACCAGTGCATGTTCACACTGTGTGACATAATTTTTAATCGGAACACTTTGACTGTCTTGTCTTGTTGTATCGACCATTGTAAATTAAGTTATTAAACAATGTACTATCTTATGTAGTTATAACAATGAGAGGTGTTATTTTGCAAAAATGTATTACAGATGTGTTGACTCATTTAATTTGTCTATGTTTATAATATCCGTATGCAACCTTATCAAATGGGAATAAGTATGTTCGTTACATTTAGTATGAATGTGTATACAATGTCTTATGAAAGTAAAGCATAGATAGCACTTGGTAGATATTATAAGCCTTACATTTTGTAAGTTTTAAAGACTGTCAGGTCTCCTGGGTCGCGCCATAACGCCTCAAAATGTTTCAAGTATACATGCTTTTATTAGATGAAACATAACACAATGGTAACTGTTTGTAGAGATGGGTAGTGGGTAAAAACCCATTTCACCCGATTGGGTTTAAACTGGGTGATTTGGGTAAAAACCCGGTTTTTACCCATTATCACCCATTCTGGTGGGTGAAAACAAAAATAGCGTTTTTTTAAAGTGAGAAGTGGTATTTGTNATGTTATATGGTAATGAGTGATTTTAATGATTGTCTTTTATAAGGAAGAGATACAAAAGATTGTGAATTATGGGAGTGTACAGTTTCTGGTTATTATTAGGACAGACTCAGAACTACTTTATATAATAAAAAAATTGAAAATACCCTGTTTTGTTTCTATTGATACCACTACAAACCCCAAAATTTTGTGACATTCAGGTGGCATGCTAAATAAATAAATATTATTATTACAATAACAAAGAGTGTGTGAATAAAATATTTTATTGCTTTTCACCCTACCTCATAAGATTACTAATAATAATTGAAGACATAAGATGGACTTTAGTAATATAAGTAAATGCATATAATATTATAGTTAAATAGTGTAGTGAACACAAAACCTAAGTAAACTAAACATTTCTATACATTAATGTCATTAATTCAGGTACTGGAACTCCATTTTTCTTAAACATATAGCACCCAGAGCACATTCCAGGTTTATTGTTCCACAAGGCATTTGGGCGGTAAAGCTTATGGGAAATCTAGCATCTGGAAACAAAAATTAATGCTATTTAAAAGCTCACTTGATGAAAAATCATTTTTTATAAAGAGTGTACTATTTATAACACTCAAAACCAAATTATCAATATTCCCAGGAAGCCCTTATTTTATTTATTATATTTCATTGTAAAACAGTCCTTCTAAATATCAAAGAACATAAAATGCCCCTTCTCCCCTAGCCTTCATTTTATTGAGTATTGAAACTTGAGTCCCTAAGAGACAGAAGTAACCTAGGTTGGGGACCACTAGCAAAACTTATAGTTGTAATCTTTTTTTTAATTTATATATTTATTTTGTTTACTTACAAGTTGTGGAAGGCACTTCTCTACGTGTTCAAGGTCTACTCGGTCACAGCTCTCTCGCAGGGCTTGACTGGATGCCCTGAGGCAAGTCTCCGTCACCAGGCACTTTGCCACTTCAACGACCAATGATAAGGCATCATTGCCTAGTTTAGTTTTGTTGTCTTGGAAGGACCCGTTTAGTAGATCTTTTATTATGTCCTGCAAAGTAAGATCACTCAGAGTATATGGATTTGCTTGATCTAACTAGATCCGAATTGAACTGAATGAACATGTAAAGAATCTTTGAAAAGGTAGAAGGAATACTTCAGTATGAATTTTTATTCACTATTTAAGCAGTAATTTAAATTATATCAATGGTCCTCTGTCGAAATAATGAAAAAATATCAAACAAATTAAATTTAACTTTTCACTCACTAACCTGCTTGATCGTACTCTTGACGTTGGAAGTAACAGACGCAGGATCGATTTTTTCATCGTCATTTTCATTGCAATTGCGCGCCATGGCGAAAAAAACTATTTTTTTTTGAAATAGAAACAACAACCAAGAAAACACTTTGCAAGCGTATTTTGACGTTTGAATTTTCGTTCGGAAATCCCACAGCACAGAAGCACAGATCCTCCCAATCGGATATTTTTTTTAATGTTTGTAGCACGGTCGTAAGCATATTCAGCCACTTGAATGGTTCTGCCATCGAGAATGCTATTGGAGGAGATGGAAACCAATGGAAACCCATTCTCCAATCTGTCAGACTTGTAATAATTTGCATGTATGTAGTGATATTGCCCTCCCTAAGCAATTAAATTATGCAATGTTACAGAATAACACACGCAAATTAAGAAAATAGTTTAATAAATAACGGGATAACCACCTAAGATTCACTTAGCACAAGAAGTTTCAATAAATACATCATTCTTTCCTTTACATCTTGGTACGACTTATTCGTTAAGCTTTCAGTCAACACTTCTAACACGTTCTTCTCATCGAGGGTTTCTAAAATAGTTTTGTTGGTATCTTTTCTCTCTTCTTTTGTGAGGTTGATTTTCAGCATTTCAAGGATGAGTTTGTCTTCGTCTCTCGTCCACTCCGGGATTTCTGATTTGATGGTCTCGTCTTCAAACATAATAATCATTGACCTTTCCGAGGCGTCGGAATCCTCAGGTTCTGATTTGCACGTGATCTGTGGTAAGAAGTCCGGTTCGGAGGGCGGCTCCTGCCAAAAAAAAAAGAAAATTATTTAAATAAATAAAAAAAAAAGATTGAGATTGAGACCCATGTACCTATTTAATTTGGGGGAACTTTTATGTTATGATTTATTTTCCATAATATACCTGCACAAAATAAAGAAAATGATGAATGTCATGTAATCTTACCACTTTAGTGCAAGGGGTAGTACTCAAGTTGTCTTCTACGGCAGTTTGTATTGGCGCTTCACTATCAGGAGGCATTTCAATATCTTCTTCATCACTGTAAACAATATTTTTAAGATTATTCCTTTTGGTAAGAATTCAAAATATCGGCACCTGAGTTACGAATCAGTCTTATTAAGCCGGATCCAGACGGGTGTAATGTAATTAATCCACAGTGTAATGTAACACGAATTCTACGCGTGGCACTATGAGCGTTACATGTAAAGTGCTGCCCGTACTATTTCCATTACATTACACGATACATTCCATTACGTATTACACTCGTCCGTACCCGGCGTTAGATGTACATATTTTATTTATTTAAATCAACGTAATTTGATCACGTACATTCCCTTAAAATCAATTCTAGCATTCACAAACCTCGACGAATGGTCAGCTTCGTAGTCCGTAGCCGCTTGAGGCGCGGCGGTGTCGGTGAGAATCGTCACGATGTCAGCTGGAGCGTCAGCGGTCGCTAATGGTGTCGCTTGAGGAACTGATGTTGATTTTTCAGGTCGTGTGGTCTCTGCAGTGACTGGTGAGGCGTCTGTTGTCCTAAAAGTTTTAGGATTCGTAAGTGTCATGTCATTAAGTTAGCAATAGAATAAAATTGTGACATTGAGTCTTAATCGTATAGATAAGGGTCTCTAACACCATCGGTAGTTGTTTACCCTGAGCGAATGGTGTAAATAGTCGTACATCGTATCAGGCAGTGCCTGAGGCATGGGAGCGGCGTGGGAGTTTTGATTTTGACATAATATGTCATGTCATATTATGACATGACAGAGCATACAAATCTGAAGTCCCGATGACATTTGACGTAAAAAGAACACCCTCCTGTGCCGCTCCCATACCTCGGGCAGTGCCTGAGTTAAGCGATAGAACTACTTGTCGCTAGATTTGTTCTGGATACTATACTGGGCAGCGCAGGACCGTTCATTGTGGAAAACCTTGGGGGAGGCCTTTGTCCAGCAGTGGACGTCATTTGGCTGAAACGAACGAACGGTTATACTGGATACTAGATTTGGAACTAATCCTAATCTAGCGACAATATTGGGAACTACGAACTTCTTGCGTCTCGCGACTGTTTTAGCTCTAATACTCGCTAGGGCTCCTGCGACTTACTTCTTCTCGGGAACTCGTATCCAGTTTCTAGCAAGAGGTGGGACAAGTGGCTAGGGCTCCCGCGACCTGCTTCTTGATGTTCCAGCGCGGGAACAATCCAGCGACAATACTATTAGATAAGGAAGCAGTAAGGCCCGGGCATTTTATGGAGCTTCCGGTCGAGAAAAGTCTAGCTACGATACCATCGAAACTACGCACTACTTGCTACTCGCGACACGTATCCATTTCCTAGCTAGAGGTAGGGTAACTGTCTTGGGTGACTTACTTCTGCGAGCTAAAGCGCGCGATCTAAAGTCTAGCGACAAAACTAAACAACGCACTTCTTGCTTATGCTAGGGCTGCTGCCACTTACTTCTGCGAGCTCCGGTGCGGGAACAAATCGAAGGTATACGCAGCGAGCGCGGGGTGGCCCTGCATGTGCAGTAATAACACACCACACATCTGGCACGGGGCCCAGGGGCCCGCGAACAGGCGAGAAAGCTGGCTCAGGATAGTATCAATATTCCACCAATCGCTAGACTGTCAATCAGCTATCGAGCAACATCTCTAACTCGCACAATCGCTTTATTCCAACGAAAAAACTGTCATAACTACACGCTTCTCGCAGCTCACGAACTCGTATTTAGAGTCTAGCTAGAGGTGGGCACTGGGGATAGTGTCTAGGGCTACTGCGATTTACTTCTTATCGGGAACTCGTATCCAGTTTCTAGCAAGAGGTGGGACAAGTGGCTAGGGCTTCCGCGACCTGCTTCTTGATGTTCCAGCGCGGGAATAATCCAGCGACAATACTATTGGACAAGGAAGCAGTTAGTCCCGGGCATTTTATGGAGCCTCCGGTCGAGAAAAGTCTAGCTACGATACCATCGAAACTACGCAATACTTGCTACTCGCGACACGTATCCAGCTATTCCTAGCTAGAGGTAGGGTAACTGTCTTGGGTGACTTACTTCTGCGAGCTAAAGCGCGGGAAAAGTCTAGCAATAAAACTACCAAAACAACGCACTTCTTGCTTATGCTAGGGTTGCTGCGACTTACTTCTGCGAGCTCCGGTGCGGGAACAAATCGAAGGTATACGCCGCGAGCGCGGGGTGGCCCTGCATATGCAGTAATAACACACCACACATCTGGCACGAGGCCCAGGGGCCCGCGAACAGGCGAGACAGTTGGTTGAGGATGTTGAACTTCTTCTCTTTGTTTGTCACATGTTCCTGTGGAGAATGCTGATGTGAATGACAACTTCAACCTGTTAGGCTGGTTTTAGAGTCACGCTGACCGTCAGCGCTGACAGCCGAATGAAGAATGTTCACTAATTTTGTTTTTTAGCTTTCTGTATTCTCTGTTAAAAATAAAAAATACACGTGAAAGAATTATTTCGATACGTCAATCAGTTTCCAAGATATTGAATTTTAAAAGTGCGGGCGGCGGCCGGCCCGCCATTTAATGCGCGTGACGTCATATTACAGTGACTGGCACATATTTGTATGGGTGGAATCTTGCAAGCCGAATTAAGACCCACTTCCGGGCAACCGATTAAGCTGAAATTTCGCATACACATGCGATTTGGATGACCATGCAATATTATGATGACATGGAGCTGATCTGATGATGGAGCTGGAAGGTGGCCATAGGAACTCTATAATAAAACGACTTAAATCCATCGAGTTTGGGCTCGTTAGTTTTGTATTGATGAGTACTTTAATTCTATACAATATGTAACAAAAACACCGTCCGATCCAAAAGGGTCATAAAGTAGCTTTAACAACATTACCAAAACTAGTATCAAAATTACGTTATTAATAAAAACAATTTTTTTATCAATTTTTAAAGTCAATAAGTTTAGCAATGATTTACCCTACAACGGGGAATTTTTCAAAAAGCGTTAACACTCTGTCGCCGCGCGGCTTTCTTTAAGACGCTGGGGGTCATGACCTTATGACGTCGCTACTCGTGCCGGCGCATCTCTACCCCTCCCGCGTACCCTCTACCACAAAATATAACAGAAGGTAAACTCATGTAGGTATGTACTTCGCTTTGCATACCTCGCTCGCTCACACGCTCGGCCGTCGCGCTAGGGTTGTCTTCTCATGTGTTGCGTTTATTTCGTTATGATAGAAAAATGAAACTCTTAATACTATGGAGGAAAGACAATAACAGATATCCACGTATAATTATGTAGTTATGTTTAGTACGTTATTATAGTAATAGTTTGCAAACAAATACACGAGAAGGAAGTAGTATGTAGTTGAGTGGTTGACACTATTATCCAATAATTCCTAAAACCTCTTTAAAACAATTCGATATTCCTAATAATGAGTTGGATTTCAATTTATCTACGTTAAACGAACTATTGAAATACAAATAAATACCTTACTTACCTCCCGGAATCAACTGGTAGTTTATAAAACGAAAATTTAGTTTTCAATGTTGAGTGTAAGCTACTTCTAATTAACAAATGTTATAATACCCCTTTTTTGTTGTTCATTCATTTTCGCACAAACAAAATAATTTCACAAACGCGTGAGCAGCGTCACTCAAGCGAACGCAGTCGCGGCTCGCATTCGTCCAAGACAGTCTTGATAACGCGTACGTGAGCGGTGTCTATGTGTGCGTGGCTCGAGCGCGTTTAGTATGAAGTTTACCTTCTGTTATATTTTGTGCCTCTACACTGCCGTTCGGGTTGCCATGTAAGCTTTTTTATTTTTGTAAATTTTGTATTTATTTTTCATGGGGTATTTTTTTAATAATATTTTATGAAAATTATTACACAAATGGAATCTTAACTCGATACCTATTAACACCTTAATGGATCGGACGGTGTTTCCGTTACATATTGTATAGTAATCAGGGTCTGATGATGGAGCTGGAAGGTAATTCGCAATAAAACGACACAATCGCATCAAGTTTGGGTTTGGTTCAATTTTAATTTCTGTGATGGATCTGGGTGTTAATATGTATAATAAGTATGTATTTACAAAAAAAATGTATTTAAGTATGTTTATATCCGTTTTCTAGTGAGCGGCCACTGTGAATGTACAGTCGCGGAATGAAAAGGTTCGTCACCTTAGTGTCGGTTTTCGCTTGCACCAAAGAGTCAAACCTGCCAACATAACAGTGCAAGAAACAGTGCTGCTAACATTTAAATAAATATGACGTTTGCTGACGAATAAGGTTTTGCTTGTTTATTTTTATATCCCATCAGTGCAATGCAATTATGACATTGACCAATTGACAATAGTTTTTTTTATTTAATGGCAGGTTGAACCAACAAGAAGGTTTTAGTTTATCAATCATAATAACACTAGTTTACAAGGTTTTTTACCCAGAGATGAAACTGATATGTATCGTTAGAGTTATTAACCCTTACTTAAAAACTTAACTTAGAAAAAATTTAGGACGTCAAATTTTGTGAATATTGATTATATTAATTTTTATCATTTTTATACATTTATCTCTAAAAACAACCAAAAATGAGTCGTTTTACTCCTACTTTTATACTAATTAGTATCAGTTTCCCTTATTATAGATCAACAGCAATCCGCTAACACATTTTTAACCCAAATTCCTTGGTATCTTTCCTCAAAAACCTTCAAATCCTGGTGAAAACTTTCGCCATGCTTAACACTCACGCTTCCCAGGTTCTCAGGAAAAAAATTGAGGTGAGAATGTAAAAAATGAATTTTTAACGACTTATTCACACCCATTCTTTGGTAATTCCTCAATAATTTGGAAACAATTTCTGCATAATTCTCAGATAAATTTATAGTTTCCCAGGAAACTTTTCACTACTGCTTTAAATGAATACCAAGCATCTTTCCCTTACTGGAATTACGGGTAATGACGGATAAAGAACTCCTTCAGATTGCAGCACAGGTTTTGTGACTGATGCAACATCAGGATATTGTATGTTCTTGGTTTTTGTTGTTAAAACCTGTAGTTTCAGTGAGACAGAAGTAACAGTCATTAGGGTGATTTGTTGGTTCTCTCTATAACATTGGGGTGCCGAATTCTTTTTCCTGCAGCTTAGTGCAATAATGTACTTCTCAAATTTTCGCACACTACACCAGGAACCCATTTTTTATCAGGTTTGTTACCGAGATTAGAAAGCAATAGAAATAGGCCCGTTTTACGGTCTTAGTGATTGGTTACTTTTTTTTTGACAATATAATTTGACCACAAACATAGCAAAAGTTATTTGGGCTTAATTTACACTGCCTTGGTGATATTTTAAAACAAGTGAAAATGTAAAAATAATACTTAAACGCAATTAAAATAAAGCAGAAACTCCGATACGGCTAACAAGACAGCTTACTTAGGTTAATGTGGATTTCTCAAAAACTAGACGTGATAAAAATATGAGACATATATTTTTGTAATAAGGGGGCTGGTAGAAAACACATCCCATATAAATTATCTTTGGGTAAAAGAAAATATTTTTTTTTGTAAACTAGTGTAATCTTCTTGACAAGATAAATCGTCAAACAACTTTGATCTGAATAATTTTGAACTTTACTGACGAACAGTTAAAGATTATTTTCTCTAATTTGAGATTATTCTGTAACATAGTTTCAAAAGGTAATATGTGCTCGCGATTCGTTGAAGGAATCAATTTGAAAACTGACGAACTTTTTCATTCCGCGACTGTACGTCACGCGGGGTCACGTGACCGTCGGCGGGTCTCGATATTTAAGCGAACTTTGAATGCCTATAAAATCATAACTACTTGGTATTTTTGAATTAAATAAAAACAAATGTATTTGTATATGTAAAAGCTTAACTGTAACATAGGTTTCAAGTGATTTTGCATACCTAGTAACATTCTTAATTGTATGAAGCGTCGGCGCCGAGCGATCAGCGTCACTCAGGAACGTTCCCTTCAATGAGTTTATCGTTTTTATACTTAACAGTTGGCACCCCTGGCGATTGACAGGACCTTACTCTACAGTGGCGCCATCTTGATGAGTGCAAATGCGATAGTCCTCCTGCCACTTTAGCGCTCACCAGCTGGCGCCACTGTCTTCGCTACTAGCAAGTGACAGGACCTTACTCTACAGTGGCGCCAACTGGTGAGCGCTAAAACGATAGCCCTCATTACATACATATTGATCAGACAGCGCCGACGATCAGCGTGCGGTCAGCGCGACTCTAAAACCAGCCTTCAGCTTCATATACTCGTAAGTAATCTATTTTGTCTACACGTGATGACGTGAGTGACAAGTGACTTCAGCCAAAGAATCTAAACTGGCGCAGTGACAAAAGCAGAGTAAATACAAATGAGTAAGTCATCTTCATAGAAACGCACGGGCGCGGTTTGTATGTGAGCGCGCCAACACGTATGCGGCGCGCACGCACACACTGACACAATTTAGCGGGGATTAGCGGGGAGCCAGTCGTGGTTGCGCCAANGAAGATAATACGATAGAGAATAATACAAAGTAATAAAAACTACCTGTTATAGGGGCATTTTTTGGAGAAATTGATCAAATAACCAAAAAAACACGAATTTATAAGCAGATTTTTTACAAAAAGTATCATTTTTTATTATTTGTTGGCCTTTTTTGTGTATTTTATGTATTTTTTTAGTGTTGCCTGTTATTTAGCAATATGACTGTTTTTATTTTATCAGGATATACCGCTTAGTTTAAAAGTTATTACGTTTTCTTTACAATAAGTAATTGGAAGAAAAATAATCTACAAAAAATTAAAAAAAAATCTCAAAAAATTTTTGACCTCTTTTTTGTCGATAAGAATAGGTCTAGTTTTATCTATTCTCATATGTATACTTTAACGTGACTCACACTGTATACGAGATATCGAAAAACTGTTTAATGATCCTGAAAGTGCTTCACGAGCTCTATCAAACGGTATCAATATTAGGTTACGAAATAAACTGAATCTATCCGAAAATGCAATATTTTCTGCTTAAAAAATAATCAAACACAATATTCGTTTAAATAATTTATTAACGATATATTTAAATATATCTGTAGCAACATCTAATCTTATAGTTAAGTTGTTTAATAAATAGTGAAAGTTATGGACAATTTCTGATTTTACAACTAAGCCACTGCCTATGTTTTTTATACCAATTTATTTAATCGAATTCTAACGATTTATTCGTAAACATTTAGAAGAGTTTTATTCGCTATCGATTTGAAATCGGATAACTAGTAAATACGATACGATCACGTAGGCAGTGGCTCAAAATGAGAAATCAAAATTATGTAAGAATAATAAATAGTAAACTTTAATATATTTTCGACACGTATTATAAACAAAGGAAGCATTTACTCAGTGTCAGACCTACCTAATATTAAGTGTTGCCGATAATATTCGATAGTTTTATCAATAACTAGTCAATAAAATCGATACCAATGCTTAAAAATGACTGTTCAGAACTTGTAAAAATATTAGCGTGTAGAATCGTCACAAGTTGAAATGGAACGCGTAAGTTAAAAATCTTATATTGGTGGGTAATCGCATATTTGCTTCGCCAACTTTATTTTCCTACCGTCATTAACGGTCGGAGCAAGCCTCAGTTGCTGCAGTTGCCCGGGCACGCTCAATGCGCACACACGTGTGTCGCGCACGTTTTGCAAGTCTATTAATGACAATATTAATTTTAAACTTTCGCGTTGGATAATTTGAGTTAGTTTAAATCGCGTTAGAACTTCTTTAAATTAATTCTACTAGTGAGGTTCACTCCGAAAGAGCGTGTTTTTTGTGATTGTTCGCGAGTGTAGTGTAAACGTGCATCATCATATCAACATCATCAGTGCTCCACCGCTGAACTTCGAGCGTCTGCAGTTTGCCTTCTGTCCGTGGATCGGGTCGACTTTAAGGTAGGTGATGCTCAGATTACCTGTTTGTATTGCGAGGACTGAAGGCTTAGTGTGTTAACATCAAACGTTCTCACTAGTGAGCGCCTTAAAAAAATATATGAAAATTTTAGTTCTTGAAAGTTTCCGCTAGGGGCGCTGTACAATCCGTCATGCATTTAATGACATTTTTTACGCGCTCACTAATGAGGACGTTTGATTTAAACTCACACTAAGCGCTCTGATCTACCTTCATCAATTTTTATAACAAAAAACCTATACAGTTCACTTTTTAATAAATTATCCTACGACACACACCATTGAGTGTACAGTAGAGTAGGGTAGTGTCATAGTAAAAAATATAAGAATATCGGTAGTATCGATACCATCGATATGCTATCGGTATTTATCGTAATTCGGCAACACTACTAGTTAACATTACACCCGTTTTACAATGTAGTTTATAATACTTTTACTTACATAGGGTAGAAAAAAAATCACTAATATCTGCATTGAATAAAATAAATTAATATCACTAAGGTTTTTGAAAAATAACTTTTTCAATTTTCATGAAGATCAAACCATAATCGCCATTATACAGTTTTTAAAGTAATAGGGGAAAAATAATAAAGTAGTACTATTTGTACATACGTAGACTATTCTTATTATTTGTTCAATCACTATCCGTTTCACATTCTACTTTAATATTAACCGTCTCGAACGCAATCTCAGGCTTTTTTACATCTGGCAATATTTCTTCTGCTTCATTTGCGTTGACATCATGATTATTGTCAGTTTGATCGGCTTTATTTTTATAAATTCTAACTTTACGTTTGTTCGTATCTAAGGTAGGTAGAGGTATTTTGTTGTTTTTCACTTCGTTCCACAACTTGAGGGCCACACTTGCATCGGTCTCTGCACTCTCATAGATTTTATCCGGATGTTTTCTTGAATAATGTCTGATTACGTTCTGTCTGTGTGAGAATTTCTTCGGGCAAATAGCACATGCAAAACACTTGATGTCCATGTGGGTTCTCATATGGTATTTCAGACGGCTTTCTTTAGGAAATGCCTTATTGCACACCGGGCAGTTTAGATTTACAATTTTATCGTGCCTCACCGAATGCCTCAACATATTGTGTTTGTGAGAAAACTTTTTGGAGCACACCGGACAAGCATATGGTTTCTCACCAGTGTGCATTCTCATATGAGGTTTAATCAGACCGAAGTGTGTGAATGTTTTGTTGCATATATTGCAAGAGAACGGCTTAAATCCGTTGTGATGTTGGACATGTCTAATTAAAGTGCTTTTGTACTTGAAATTCATTCCACACATGTCACAACCGAAGGGCCTTTCCGTTGAATGCTTTTTCAAATGACTTGTCAGTAACGAACTTTTAGGAAACTTCTTGTTGCACAGATGACAGACCAGCGGTGTATCAGGCAACTTGCATTGGCTTTTCCCTTGGTGTCTTATAAGATTCGATTTTAGAGTGAAGGAGCGATCACATTGATCACACTTGAATAGTTTTTTGTCTAAATGTATGTAGTTGTGCTGCATTAAATTAGCTGAACTTTTAAACGTTTTGCCGCATAATTCACACTTGTAGATCAAGTCTTGGGGGTGGGGTGGGTTTTTGAAATCTTCGTCTGTGTGGGAGAGCAGATGACGAATGATGCTAGCTTTGGTCATGTAGATCTTTCGGCAAATCAGACAGGTGAATTTTCCGTTGTCAGTGACGTACTTTTGCTTCAACTCTGGAATGAAAAATTCGGTTGTTAATGAACTATTCACAGAAGCTATTTTTCTTGCGTTTTCACGAAGACGCGGATTGTGTCTCATGTGTATTTTTCAATACTTAAGTAACTGATTTGAAATTATAATGTAAATACGTCAAATTGTTCTTTTAAATAACTTATCTTTTTTAACTCTCTGTTTAACCTTTTGTGATAGTAGGAGTAGGTTAATCTTACCATTTCTTCGCTGTTTTTCTGACGATAAATGTTTAATCTGCGATTTCTCGGGCTGTTCCTGAAAGAACAGAAAATTAAAATTGTTTATTAATGAAAATAGGCTCCCAAAGAGCACTCTTTCACATCCCATAATATGGGCCAGTGCTGAGAAGAAGCAGCGCAAGAAACTCAGTCACTATTGTCAGCCTCTATTTCAAGATTTTACAGACTAGATAGAAATATAATATTGCATACAAACTGATGTGAGCTAGGTTTCAATTCCATACATTTTTGTCCAAAATGCAAAAGCTCCTTAAAGAGCAATTGATAATTTTTAACTACTATATCTGTCCAGAAATCTATACTATCTATACTAATATTATAAAGCTGAAGAGTTTGTTTGTTTGTTTGTTTAGTTCAACGCGCTAATCTCAGGAATTACTGGTCCGATTTGAAAAATTCTTTTTGTGTTGGAAAGCCCATTTATCACTGAAGGCTTTAGGCTATACAACATCACGCTACAATCAATAGGAGCAGAGCAACAAGGAAAAATGTTGCGAAAACGGGTTTTCACGCGTACGAAGTCGCGGGCACAGCTAGTAAGCCAGAAAAGTGCTAGACATCCAAACTAAGCCCCGCGGACGAGGAAGACCCTGAATTACATGGATGTCCGTGATCAATAACGACCTTAAAGAAGCCCAAGTTAACAGTAAGACAACCCAGGACACAGGACCGAGCCGGCTGGAGACGCATGACGCGGAGGGCCGACCCCAAATAAAATGGGAATGGGCCAGGCAAAATCTATCCAGAAATAGGCATTTTTGATTTTGAAAAAACTGAAAAATCTGTCATTTTTGCCTGTAACCCAGATAATCACTACGTTATAAAACAAAGTATGCTTAGATCTTTAAAACTACGCAACAGATTTTGATGCGGTTTTTTAATAGATAGAGTGATTCAAGAGGAAGGTTTAATTTATTTATTTATTTTTCTTTATTCAGAAAACCACTTCACAGCTCTGTATAATGTTTAGAATATGCATACTATTGAAGAGAAAAGCTAGGAAATTCCATTGCAACCATACAAAGCCAAGTTGGAAAGTTAATTCTTAATATATCACTGATCGAACATACATACTTGACTATGACAATCCTCAGGGATCAGCTCCAACTCTATCTGAGTGTGCTGTGTCCGTTCTTCTACCTTGATGGTGTCCGTGGTGCTGTCCGGTTCCTGCGGGCTGTCCGGACGGCACGCCGGGGGTCGCTCAGGGGTCAAGTCTAGGGGCTCTTCTTTGATTTGCCTGGAACGGGTGAAAATATTAACGTTAGATGTAGTATGTGGTAGGGGACAGGAAATTTAGTAAGAAGAGGTTTAATATGTTAAATAAAACTCATTTATTTTTCAAATAGGCTTTTAAAAAGCACTTTTACACGTCCCAGTTTTAACCCTACCTTTGCTTCGGGACAAGTAGGTACTTTACTTATAATAATATTGGTGGAGGCCTATGTTCAGCAGTGGATGTCCTATGGCTGAGATGATGATGATGGTAATGGTGGAAACAATATTTAAAACTGCTTGAAAACAAATTTTTTTCATAATAAAGTTTGATTAATAGCAGTCAACAGTAGTCAATAAATATGGTATTTTCATGTTCATAAAGTAACAGCCTAGAGTTTTATGTACTTGTGGGTACCACATAAAACTGATGAAAATAACTATTTTTTGCAAAACTATCAATTTCAAAAACTTCACTTTTTAGGGGTACTTTTTATACCAAACTAGCTGATATTCTGCTTTAAATTTTGTGTCACAGAAAAAGAGTTATTGGGACATTCGAAAACATTAAAGTACGCGTCCCTATTTCAAAAGCAGGGATAAAACTACCTTATGTCCTTTCTCGGGACTATTTAATTTTCTTGATCTGGGGTATTACGGCCCACAGAGTGACCTCTATACCAAATTTCATCAAAATCGGTTCAGTGGTTTAGGCGTGAAAGCGTAACAAACAAGACAGTTACTTTCGCTATAATATTAGGAAGGAAGTAGGGATAAGAAATGTCGTAGCTCTTTTGGACAAATAAACATATTTACCTTAAAGGGCTATAGCTTCTCTCAATTTTAACAAATTCGGTAGATCTTTCATAGTAGTTCGCGGAATTTGGGACACTATTTAATTCTGTGTCACAGTACGAAGGGAACGGCTCGTCGTCCTCGATTTCCTTTTTAATAACGACGTTGCTCTCTGCCATTTTGTCGCTTTTCTTTAATTAGCCGAATTAGTTTTCATTTTATGTAAAATTCGCAAAATAAACCAAGAACCAACACCACTCGAATTCACTCGATCGATTAATGTTTTTTTCAATTTGACGCAGTGTTGCCAGTCGGGTCTAGTCAGAAATTACCAGAAATATAAAAAAAAGTAACCTTTTTGAATAAAAAGTAACCTTCATACGGGGGGGGGGGGTGTGCGGAGCGATTGTGTAAGGTTGTTCATGGATGGAAAATGAATACAATTGATCATCAATCGTTTACCTAAATTCGAAATTTTGACCATTCCATGAAGACCGAAAAGAGTGACCGGTCGTATAAAACCGTTTCATGGATTTGCGTTTTATTATCGAAAAACATTCGCTAAAACTCATTTTCTTTAACAAATAATAAATCAAATTCATGTTTAAATGCAGTTTATGACATAATTTTTAAATTGTCACTATTAATATTTTTTACTGAATAACCTGTAAAAGTTAATTCTACAATTTCTGAAAAATCACCTAAAAGTAACCTTTTCATTAGTGTAACCTAAAAGTAACCAATGCAGTTCAAAAGTAACCTAAAAGGTTACAAAAGTAACCTTCTGGCAACACTGGATTTTGTGCACTGCAAAACGTTTGGCTGTTTTTTCTTCCGGAAGCGGAAGTTTTTGTTTTCTTTTTTTTTTTTTTTAGTGGCAACCAAACCTCTCTGGGAGGTTTATTTCTGCCAATGTCGAGTGAAAAAAATTGACATAGTTATCAATAGAACGTGGGTGTTTCAGTTCTATTGATTTTTCATGGATTCCGTGGAGTTAAGTATGCCCGTAAGCAGGTTTCGAGACGCCACCGGGTCCAAAGCGGGTTGTTCATTACGACAACCCACTAGACACTCGATGCGCGCTCAAATTCGAAGTATTTCAATGTTTTTTATAATTTATCACTTCACTGCACTTTAGAACACAAAATAACACCAAATTTGTACACTAAAGTCCATTAAATAATAAATTGAAACCATTAAAACAGATCGACCATGCTTCCCGTTCAACTATAGATGACCCACGCTGAACTGTCCCGCCAAACTCAATGACAGGGGGGCGCTACCATCGTTCAACTTTATGGTTTCCAACATGGCAAAAATCGGAACCAGCGATTCGGTATTGACGGTGGCGCCCCGCTGTCAATGTCATCGATAGGACAGTTCAGTATTTTGGAACTATACCCTCCACGGAATCTCTTTTGTTTTCTTTTTTATGGCTTCGGGCTAGTGACTTTTGGCGTATGACCACTATAGTTCCAAAATACTGAACTGTCCTATCAATGACATTGACAGCGGGGCGCCACCGTCAATACCGGATCGCTGGTTCCGATTTTTGCCATGTTGGAAACCATATAGTTGTACGATGGTAGCGCCCCCCTGTCATTGAGTTTGGTGGGTCATCTAGTGATTATTTGCTCCATGCGTATGACAGTAACGCAAGTTTGTAACAAACTAAAAACAAACTTGATACTTCATCTTTGAAACATAGCGCAAAATGCAAACTTGCTTCAAAATTAAAAAACCATTGAAACATCATATCTAAATCAAAAAGCTTACAGCAATATTGCCACAAACTTGATTTGTCATATTTGACGTGACAATCTAATTTCAAATAAAAATCATGTTTGCAGCAAGTGCGCTTGCTATCTGGGTAATGGCTCCAAGAATATTTCCCGTGCTCCTGTTTCTTTCCAATTTATTTGCTGAACACACATTGGTTGTAATAAGCATTATTAAACTGAACTGTATATTTATTTGTCCAACAAGGACTTTAGTTAATGTCTCTAATATGTGTTGTTTAATCCAAGAGAAGTGGGTATACTGTAAAATGTTCCTGTGATGATCCAAATTTCAATAGACTTGGCACAAAAAACTCGCTACGGAAAGTCATCTCAGAAGATTTGACGTTATCTACAAATTAAATACTTTGCCAGTTTGAATGGTTGGCCCTCTGAAGGATTTTAATTAATGGAGAAATAAGCGTAATACAGCCTATTTTACTCGCTTGCGGAAAAGTAAGCATCATTCTAAATAATTAATTAGAATGGCAACGCTATGAGAGCTTGTTAGAGCCATTTACACCTTTTCAAATAGCAAAATGTTTATAAGTGTTGGTTTTGTAGTTTACCGTGTTGCCTTTTATGTTCTAACGTAGATTGTTTAGCTTTAGGCCTTTGTAGTCTATAAACTTCAGAAATGTTAGAAGGAATCTGCTAGTGAACTATTTGTAATTTACCAACATATGTATATTTTGTTTGTTCAATTTAGAGAATTGAATTAACAATTATTGCATCAAACAAATCGATGAGGTAGCATCTAAATTGGTTAGTTGTCAATACAATAATAGTACTACAAAATTAATTTTCAACCTTAGGCAAAAATTTTAAAGTCCCCTTTAAATTATGTTCCGACTGAATTAACTTATCTGTCCGATAAGGCGAACATTGAACTAATTTTATGTAGAAGGTTAACTGTTACTTCATGGGGCCAAGTCTAATTCACCTTATTGAAAGAGCCCCATTTTTTTAATAATGGAAACCAAACCTCTTCTATGGGAGGTTTATTACTGCCAATGTCGAGTGAATGCTTGATAAAGTAGTACAAATAGATTTTTTTAATTCTATTGTTTTTGCGCCTCTTTTCTTTTAACCAATGTCCTTATCAGCATCTCTTTAGAAAATATTTAAACCCTGCCCTCGCCTGAATCGTTTACAAATGGCGTCCTTTCCTCCCAGTTTTTCTTCTCCGCGGCTCAATTCGCGATAATATTTCTCATTGCTCATTTGTCTCTTTATAAATGCCCAGCAATAACGACAGTGTTTCACGGCTGTAGACAGCTATTTACGAAAGGTGATTATTCTCTGGTACCTAAGTAATTTGACTAGCTTAATTGCTTGGTTTTCGTCCTCCTCATTTCAAGTCTCATTAATGTGAAGAGAGACTGAGTATTATAATTTTGAGGAAACTGCCTGAATTTTGCAATTAACAAAAAAGCAATAGATACGGTGTCATGTTGTCTATGACCGATAAATGTAATAACATTTGGGCAAAGTAACAACTGTTGTTAGATCGAATTACGAGCGGGGAGATAAGTGGAGTTTTTGAGCCAATAACGTTTCATACTCGAATAATTTCGCCCTTACAGCCGCTGGGCAGCGAAATTTAATTTTGTGAAGTGGAATGCATGATATACAGGGCTGGAGGTATACAATATTAGATTTTAATATCGTGGCGAGTTCGTTCGATAACTAGATTGGTATCGCTTGAATACCACGTCCGGGAAATGAGAATCCCTACATAATCGTTATTGGGTAGTGAAAAACATATTGAAACCGTCGCGACGCGAGCCCGTACGAACGTGGCCAAATTGATTTCACGTTAGGTACATACCTATTATACTTATTTTTTATTAAATATACACATACCTACTCAATACTCAATACTCAATAAGTTTATAGTAAGTAGGTTTAACAATAATGATCGTTATACACTGGTACCAAATACGAGTAAAAGAGCCAACCAGTCATTCTCTATTTTTAAGCTCATTTCTTATATTTCTGTGCTTGTTGCTTACCCAATGCAATGTTTTATGAACTATTCAACTGGGTTTCATGTTAAGCTGTTTCGCCTTTTCCGATAATCCATTATTTTCTGGCCACCCTGTATGTTTTGTTACAACAACAAAAAATATTTTCGCAGAGATAACTAGTTTGTTATTCAATATCTATTGCCTGCCAATGACGTGATATAAGTAAAAACTGCATCTGAAACTTATTACAACATGGCCACTCAAACTTATGCCGTTAGCAGTGAAGTGGACTGATACCGCGAGAGCCCCGCAAACAGATGCACAGTAACGAGAAAAGTTGAAGCCCTCTGTGAGAGGCAGATCTATATTCTTCTATCTGTTCATAATAAAACTCGATAAAGTGTTGTGTGTTCTCTACATATCGACTCGAAGATAACAAAATTAGTGTATTATTTTAGCATTGGGTAGTTAAAAATCGAAGTAGCTTTTAGAATTTTTGACTCGATATGTGCGTACAGTCGACACCATAATCTGACAGATATTTCCAAAAATGCTTAGAATGTGCCATCGTCCATACTAAGATTGAAAAGTAAAGACTTACATTAGTTGATAGCACATTAAGTAGGTACTTGCTCCTCTGCCGGATGCCGACATATGTAGGGTAAGTCCAGGATAGATGCCCCACTTTTTGAAACAGCTCTGTAACTCAGTCAGTAAGTTTTTATCAACAATTTGACCTTAGTATCTATAAACTTTGGTCTTTCGTCTATGATAATACTATAATTATTTTAGTTTAAGTTATACCGATTCTGAGAAAATACCATTTTAATTGACCTCTAAAAAGTGGGATAGACGCCTAATGTGGGGGATAGAAGACTCACTGTATGATTGCTTCAAAGGATAGATGCCTGATGCAAGGATAGATGACTCGTTAATATAGTTTTTGAATTTTAAGGGTCAAATGAATTTTGAAATCAAACAAGCCAAGTTTTATTATTTAAGATTGTTTGTTATTAAATGAATTAAAAATGAAATTTAATATTTTTTATTAAAAATAATACTACTCCTTCTAGCGCAGTCGGGTAAAAAGAAAATTCGATCAGAAGGGCACCCTATTTATTACTTTCCTAAGGTTAGCCGTACTACATTCTTTTTTCTTCTCACTTGCTACCTGTGACAAAAAGAGCAGGTTAGGATAGATGCCCCTAGGTGCATGGGACATGGCCCTAAGGGCATCTATACCCAAAAAAAATTAGGCAACTATCCTTTTAGCACAGGATAGGTGCCTTTTTTAATAAAAAATATAATAACACTAAAAATCGAATTAAACATAGCTATCCCGTATAATTTATAAGATAGTCTATCAAATTATATAAAAATTTGCATCATTTTACAGCTAACAAAAAAATTATCTATTTAAAGATACTTAGCAATATTATTTCGACGCTCGCTAAGGTCTGGCCGCGGAAGATTTTTGCTCTCACTAGCTAAACGAACGCACTCTTTGATGGTTTGCGAGGCGAAAAGTGGTACGAGGAGGTCCCTTTCTATTATACGTACTTTAGGCTAAGTTGCTTGTAACATAGTGTACTTAAAATCGCGGCACCTATCCCACAGGGGCATGTATCCTGGAATTACCCTATTGTAAACCATACCACACAATGACGTTACCACAGCAAGTATTTTAACACAATGTTTTAATTTCCATGTATAGCAAATCACGACTTCAAAAACTTTTATGACTTTATTTTTATTTAGCTAGTAGTAAATCGAATTTAATACTAGTTTAGCCTAAAAACAAAGTAATTTTAGTGAATCTCAGGGCGTGAAAGTGAGCATAGCAGAGTCCAAAGTGGTCCTACATAAAATATTTCTTCATTAAACTACGGAAAATTGCACGTAAATCCCTAGTCACACAAAAACTTCAAGCTTTAATTATCGGAAACTTAACCCGTTAGTTACGAGCTGACGGTTAATGTGGCAGATGGGGAAGGAAAATTAGATTCTTCTGATAAATTAATCAATTTATTCATGAAATTAAAATAATAATTTCAGTATCAGTAAATAAAGTTTTGTATAGACCATGACTATAATATTATATTCTTTAATACTTAATGCAAGCGGTTATAGATAAAAATCTGAACAGACTAACAATCTGAAAGCCTTAAAAACTGAGCATCGTGTATTGTTCGTTCGTTCGTTCGTTTCAGCCGAAAGACGTCCACTGCTGGACAAAGGCCTCCCCCAAGGATTTCCACAAAGACCGGTCCTGCGCCGCTTGCATCCAGGTACTTCCCGCGACCTTCACCAGATCGTCGGTCCACCTAGTGGGAGGCCTGCCCACGCTACGTCTTCCAGCTCGTGGTCGCCACTCAAGAACTTTCCTGCCCCAGCGGCAGCGGCGTGTATTGTTGTAATTGTTTTTTTTTTCAACAAAAACGTGATATACTGTCGATAGTACATACTGGTGTCAGACTAAAAAACGACCAAGTCCAAAATTGAGTCTGGGTTTTTCGCCACACAGCGAGTGCTGGTAACCCGTTTAAATCTAAAAAATATATCCTGCAAGATCGAATTTTCGGCGCTTGCAACCCCAGCGCTGGATGGATACCGCCATGGGCGCAATATACCCGGGATTTTTCTCACTTGCGCCTTAATTGAATCCGCTTTTAGCCCACTTTTTAATTTATTTTCACCCGATTACTTTGACGTCGGCACACGTTCCCTAGAGTTGTAGATAAATGACCAATTAACTGGCGAATGGTGTAATCATCCGGAATTCGGACCGTGTCGCGAAGTGCTATCAAATTAAGTGTTTTGAACACAAAAAAACATAGGAAGAGTGTTACATTTCTGTAGAGAATTGTTTACATAATGTAATATAAAAGATCGGAAATTGTTAAATACTAAAATTAACCACAACATAATATTATAACTACAATAGAGACCAAACTTCGTTTTGTGTGGTTCCAAAGGAACCATATTTTTGGTTTGAATAAAAAAAGCTCACGTCGACGCGTACATAACATAAACAAGCAAGCAGATGTCATTGAAGATTTGTAAGTAACAAATAGAGGCAAATGTAATCCGAAAAGGTAAGAGTCCGCCGCATGTTTTATTCACTTTACGTGATGGTTTAGATGTAGGTAATGTAACCGTACACAACGTATGAAAACCAGTGCTGATGATAATGTTTGAAGAGAGATTATTAGGAACTAAAATACATCAATGACTGAGTTTTCATCATATCATAGACAAGGTTTGAATTAAAAAATAGCTTAGCATTGAGCCACTACTTACGCCTCATCATGTATACCTATCCTATCTGACGTTACATTGTCTAAAATTCTAGAGGCACTGCTTGAGGCAGTTCTTTGCAGTAAAGTGTGATCAGGCAGGAGAGGATTCCATTTATTGAAGCTTTAATATAAACCTCCCTAAAGTCACACCAGCTCCTGGACTGTGATGTGATTCACACCAGCTCCTGGACTATGATGTGATTAAAGCAGGCGCCACATAAGACACATAGCACGCGCTGTCAGGAATGTGGGTAAATGTTACAATGTCAACAGCGGCGAATCATTTCCATTTTGATTAAGCGCGAGTGTGTACTGTACGGGGGTTATTGCCACAGAGTCGACTCGTCACGGAAAAAAGCATGTGTTTTGTAACACTTCTGATCATAAACTGACGCGTATTAATTCTCATCATCATCATCATCATCGAGTCATTCAGTGTAGGAACAGGATTGGCTCCAATTTGCCAGAGGCAAATCGAAGATTTGACTTACACTCCCTACGCTGGCCAGATATTAGGCCTGCTGTTCTTATTCACGTTTATGACGAATTTAACACACCGACGGCTCTGCTAAGAGCTAAACGATAGAGAAGAAGTAATATTTAAAATGTGTGACAAATAAATTATGTGGTAAATTAACTTTACCCTTGTACGGAAACGTAAGGGGTATCGGCGACGGTAAATATGGAAGATCCAGGGCGTGATCATGTCAGGGCTTAATAGGTTAAGCGATTACGTAGTCTGGGCGCGCCACCACTAACCCAATTTGTTGCAAACGACCGTACTAAAGCAAACATACGCCGGACGAGATTTACTGCATTATGGTACGAACGTGTGAAAAAACACAAATTGAATGTTGACGGTTATCAATCAACCTAACGGATTAGCACATTTCATGTGCCCTTTCCTCAAGTAATAGATTTACCTTGTGTGTGGGCTGATATTCACCGCATTTTGTGTACTTGATCAATCTCGATTGGGCTGAATGCTTGCTTTAAACTAACATGAAAAATGTGTTTTTCGACCAAATTATAACTATCTCTGATTTTTCCTCGACATTGATAAAGTACCTCTTAGGTACTTAGGTACCTACAAACTTCATTTCTAAGATGCATTTTTACCGACAAATACGTTAGCCTAATTTGGGCATTAAAGTAGTCAATTACATAAATTATTTTACAATAACATCACGACACCTAGTGGTGTCGGTCGACCACTAGTGGTGCGGACCGACGAACTGGTGAAGGTCGCGGGAGATGCCTGGATGCGAGCGGCGCAAAACCGGTCTTGGTGGAAATCCTTGGGGGAGGCCTTTGTCCAGCAGTGGACGTCTTTCGGCTGAAACGAACGAACGAACATCACGACCATGTGAACAATTTACGAAAAATTACGTTTATTTAGGATGTAAAAGTGCCCTGAAAATGGCCTCTTAATAAGAAAAATAATTTGAATTTGTATTACATTTCCAGCCGTGTGGAGGCCGGGTGCGCCCACGCCGCCACCCGCGCCGGTGCCCGCGCGCAGCCCCGGCGCGCCGCCGCCGCCGCCGCCGCCACCTGTGTGGACGCCGGGCAGCGCGGGTCCTTCGCCCCAGGCGCCGCGCAAGTCCTTCAGGCCTGTCCACTTCGAGGAGACGCCGCCCGCCCGCCGTAAATTTGCGGTGAGCTACCAATTACTTAAGATGCCAATTAGGTGAGTCACCAATTGATGCCCGCGTGAAATCCCGGCGCGCCGCCGCCGCCGCCACCTGTGTGGACGCCGGGCAGCGCGGGTCCTTCGCCCCAAGCGCCGCGCAAGTCCTTCAGGCCGGTCCCCTTCGAGGAGACGCCGCCCGCCCGCCGTAAATTTGCGGTGAGCTACCAATTAGTTTGGTTAGGTCGTCAATTTTTCATATATTTTTTCACTTATACAGTTTGGTATGAGCCACCAACCAGACAACATCATTTGGGTGGCCTATGTTCAGTAGTGGAAGTCCCATGGTTGCAATGAGGATGGGCACTACATTCGTTGATACTTTTCGAGCTTTGATTTGTTGGTGGAACAATTTCTATTCATCCCTAGCCTTCAGCTCTTTGGTTGTCCTGACATTAAATTAGTTATATTTTCGAGGTAAGAAAAAAGGGCCTCCACAACCCTGTTTTCTGTGCTGAGTGCTATAATAACACCTCAGTAAGTGCTGATATCAATCAACCTTGGAAAGTAATAAAACTGGATTGCCTAAGTGTTCTTAGTTAAAAAAGCATATCCGAACAACAAAGTATCTAACATCAAAGCTAAACTCGTAAACTTTTGTAGCGTCTCACAGAAATATTGAAAACGGACGAAAAGTTACTTCTTGTAAAATGTTTTAATAACGTAGGTAGAGAAGACAAAGTTTCGCGAATTTCGTTACAGAAAAATTGTTATAATCACATTGACAGAGGTAGACAATATCAGCTTAGCAACAAACATGTTTAGCTTATTGGCAAAATGTTCCGCTACTTATTTAAATCCAGTCAACATAGCAGCATTGGAAATACATGCGTAATAAATACAAAGCCAATACTAAACTAACTAAGAAAAACATTACTCCATTGCAGAACTCTGAACAAAACGGTTGCACCAGCGGTTCGGAGAGCGAAGGACGCCTGCGCACCTCTCACAGTGCTCCAGTCACCGGTCTCAACACCTTGGGCGGAGTGAGCAACACCAGCCGGCTGCCTAAAGCGCAGAACCCCACCGTTACTCTGCTGCAAAAAGCACGAGGTAATTTCAGAGTTCACCCTAACCGTAGTTGAACAGTATCCATTGTATGGAGTTTGACAGATTTTTGACGTTTGTTTAAGTTAAAGTAAGATGATGCAACCCAGCCTTAGTGCTTCAAAAACTTGCCCAAAGCGCAGAACCCTACAGTCACACTGCTGCAAAAAGCACGAAGAAATAGTATCACTATCAAATAGGTTTGGAACCACAAGTATTCGTGTTTATAATGACCAAAATTTGTTTTACACGCGTACAGTACAGTCTGTCTGTAAGACTGATTGTAACAAACCTGGGAGACGAGCAATTTTAACACAAAACTCGTAAAAGAGTTAGCATTTGGCAGGTGTTTTATCAGACTTCAGAACTTAAAAACGTGTACTGATTACTAAATATTAAAAGGAAGGTATAAAATTTGAATATCAATATGATTTTAACGGCCATAAATACCTACTACAGAAACTTGACTTTTACCTCTTCCAAATAGGAATCCTTAGAATTATGAATTCCGTTAACTTTCCAGCTCGTAATTTGCTTTTTGAACTTTAATTTACACAAGTTCGCTAACTATACTTGTTATTCTGTCGCTAAGTAGGTAAAGACATTTACCTAAACATTGTGGCTTCTTATGTGGTTGTAATAAATGCTATTTTCGAGCAAAAATGTGTAGTCTGATGTGCTGATGTCTGTACAAGGGGCTGCCATTATGATTGTGATTCTAGACATTACCTTGGCGTGTAATGCGTATGTTAATACGAGTATATCAGTGTAATGTAACGACACCCACCATAACGCTTCAGCATTACCTACTGGGGAGAAAATTGGGTAGTTTACATGATACCCGCTACCAATATGAGCTTTTTATGAGCTAAAACGCGATCCTCTAATAGATTTTGTAAAACTTAGGAACCTTTACGGTACTTGTTCACATACTTAACTCTTTGTTGAGTTTCATTGGACACCAAACTGTATATCTTGGCTATACAGGCAGTCGTAGGTAGGAACGAACAAAAATAAGAATAAGAATAAGAATAAGAATAAGAATACATTTATTTGCTTAAAACACGGTATATACAGATGTTACACAGAAAAATGTTCAGTCATGTTTTGCTTACACGAAGNACACTGCACAACTTAAAATAATTACGTTTTTTGTCGGTAAAAACGTCCTGGTGACGTCACTTAAGCATTTTTCTTATACTGCGTGCGGTCGTTGCGCGTGCGCACAAAGGAATGAGACCGCTCGGACACCGAGCCCACAGCGTGGTAGGGGTGGGGTTGCCCGCTCTTTTGTTTTTTAATACTACTACGCTGAATATTGTGTGCGGATTGGGTTGTCGTACAGGGGTACTACATGGTAAAATAAATCTCGGAGGCGAAAGCAGGATAATTTAAAGCCTATCCTATCCTTATTCATTTAACGTTAACTTCATATTTACTACACTATTATGATAGAAACAGGTTTATTGGGATTTTGATCATTCCTCCGGACCCGTATTATTTTAAACTAGATTTTTAACTTCGCGTGAAATGTCTGTCACAGAAAAATTTTAACGTGCGTGTCTCTGTTTCAAAACCGAGGTAAAAACTACTTTTGTTCTTTCCTAGGACTCAAAGTAACAGACAATTATGTACTTTCGCATTATAATATTAGTAATTGTTGATTTTCGTAACTACGTTCACATAAACAATACCATATTTTCATCAAAGACGAGGTATAAATCCCGGGATTGTTTCGTGACGAACACGAGGCGTTTTGTTGTTTGTCTTCGATTTTCTACTTACTTTTATTCTTGTCATTAGCAGTAAACCGTCACCGAGCCCTATCATCGACTTATACGATAATAATAGAAACCTTAAGGTGAGTACAGACTAGAGCATTTACTTGTAACAGAACAACGAGCCGCTCTTTATGTTCTATTGAATTACCCTTTTACGAACCAAACGCACTTTGGCAACTGAGCTTTTACCTTATACGAGTATTGTTCCATTCGTAAGAACTTTACATTGCAGAGATGCTCGTGAGAATATTCTAGTGTATGTCCACCTTTATTGGAAACAGTGTCTGTCACCATATAGGTCTGTATCTCTTGATTTGGGTGTGACAAAAACTTTAGATTAAAAATATGTCATGCGATAGGGCATAGTGCCAACCTATAAAAAAACTTTAACTTTATTTCACGAAGACACGGCTTATTATCAATTCTGACTCTGCCTCCCGTAGGTAAGAGGTTAATACATAAATCAATGGCGGAGTAAAGACTAAATTATTGAGGATCTTATTAGGAAACTATTTATATTACCCAAGGGCTATAGGCTGTTATCGAATCTCTATCTTTATACTTTCTGTCCCTGAGGATTGTGATAATTTGGGTCTGCCTGAATAATATTTTTTGTAAGTATGTGCTATTGGAATGCACTTGCAATTGGAGCAATTTCTCGCATAGTGTAACTGCGCCATAATTATCAGTTTCTGGTAACATAGAAAGCAAAACATCCTCATGATAAAAGAAAATTATGCATCACTTTATCAACCATGTAATTCCCTTTAGTAAAAGAACCCTGACACTAATTGACAAATTATGTGTACTTTCTCTGAAATGACGCTGCAAAAGTCGACTTAAATGGACAAACTACACTAGCGTCTCATGCTGGTGCCATTACTGTGAGGGTGGTAGCGCTCCGCAGAGAATGGAATAAAATAGAATATACTTGTTTTTAGAAATAAGATAGAAGGAAAAAGTAGAGCGTGTATTACGAAGCGTTAGTTTAAATTCGTAATACGAATTTGCTTGTAGTAATTATCTTGAAAATTAAATTAAATTTGTCGAACAAAACGTACCTATCGTGCTTAGTAACAGTCAATTTTCAAAGGAATTAGTTAAAGGAAACAAGCAGAAAATGTTTCAAACTGCGTGGTAGTATAGGAATGGTGTGTTTTCAGCAATGTTTTGCTTAAAGTTAGTATTTATTGTATTGCTTATTAAAGCAAAATGGTAATTAGTTTCTCCTAGAATTCAAAAGTTAGTAATGAGTACAAAAATATAACGATGAAGTACAAACAAAAAATATTTTTACTACAGAATAGTAGATCCCTACCCACATATTCATAGAAGGCTAACAAAAATTTAGCAACTTGTAAAACACACAACTAGAAGTAGGAATACCAATTAATCATTTTAAATAAAGCGCCCTAAACTTCCACGACACGATTTCGAAATCGCTCTATGATCACTATCGCTACCTTTCAGCGATTTCGATCGATGAGAGATAAGATAATCCTGCAGAACTGTTAGAGATCCCAAATCGTTCAAAGAGATTGATGACACTACCCACCGTGAAACCGCTTTGAATTGCCTTTGACGGACTCGATTGATGGTCCCAGAAAAAAAAAACAAATTGCGCGGTCATATAGCAAAAATGTCAACTCTTTCCCAAATCAAAGGTATTTCGGGTCACAGACCAAAAGCTCACATAAGTAAAGTTCAGCTTCTTCACATAAATAAAGCTGCAGAAGTTTCCGCATTAGTGGACGTATAGTTGAGCTAAATTCAAGATGGTTCCTACTAGGCAGCGTCAATTTCAGTAGAGCATAACACACGCTGAGTACGTGCCATTTTGGTTCAATAAATTCTATCAAATACCTATTTGATATTATGTTAAATTGTAGTATCCAAATATTTTATATTACTTACATAATTCTCTTTCAAAAATCGCCCAAAATCACCCCGTGCCATAAGGAAAACTGCGTCAGGTAGGATGCATCCTGATCTGTAATAACAGTTTAGCTCTCGGTCTGCAAGCCGCAAAAAGCAATCCAGTTTTTCTAAGTCACTGACTCGGAATATGATGTTTGCTTTTCAAAATCGTAAAAATATCGATGTGTTACTTATTTGATTAGATCGAGAAATTAAAGATGATAGCTGTTAACCTGTTCACGTCTCAGAGATGAGGTTTGTGTGCGATGAGGCGTGACTATCAGCGTTAAGGCCCGATAAATAAGGGTTTAGATTATCCCGTCTTGGTTTATATTTCCAGTTGAAGAAATCGTTTTGGTTTCATAGCAAGAATATTAACAGTTTTGCAACCGGTTAGGTACATAACATTATGACAGGAGACGTAATTAGGTGCTTTAAATGGTCCGTTAACTGATACTGCAATAAATAATGATACCTTAATTATAAATTGTTAGCGATTTATTTGTACATACCTAATATTAATCAGAGGTAAACAATACCAAACATGTCATAGTTAACAGGCCTCTCAATAAAGGGAAATCACAGAAAAAAGTAGTAAAAAACTAGTCTCAGTCTCGCGTCCCGTAACTATACAGTCCGATATACTCGTATCTTACATTAAACATATTAAAAGCAACTTACTCGTATGCCATCTGCAGATTATTTACTTTAACATCAATATGGTTGGTAACTTTGCCCTTCGGGAAATAATACTTGTTGAGGAAATCTTATTTAGGGGGAAAAACAGATTTGGTAATATTATATTACAAGTTAGAGTTAACTCAAGCTTGATTAACTTTTCTTCTTGGAATCCACTTTTCCTTATTTCTGCTTTCTTTTTTTCTATCACATAAAGTATCTAAACTCTTATAATGTTATAATAATTATTTACTTATTATAAAAATAATCATACTTATTTTGGGCGTCGCGTTTGGAGGGTATGACGTAATTTAACATGAATAATTTGCTGTAAGATTTCGATATTGATCTCTTATAGTGTACCTTAACGTGCCCTTCGAAGCATTCCTATTACGGACAACCCGATTGATTCAAGCTTGAAATGTTATAATCAAATCGGGACATAATCTGATTATGCACTGTGTATTCTACCCTACCTGCCAATCGAACCAAAAACCTCCAGACAAAGTGACTCCAGTCATGCAAGCCTTCATAATAGCAGAACGACGTAAGCACAAGCGTATATAAAATAACCAGCCACGTATCAACGATTTTTTCTAACCGGGGCAATTTTTTTGGGGCATCTTGAGATGCCTAAAAAACGCACACATGACTTTGATGTATTACAAAGGAATGACATGAGCGTTTCAAATTAACTATCGACAGAATAACTTGCGCTAAAACACCTTTTTTTCACAAAGCGCCCCCTTCATTCCATTTGGCGCTTCCTTTAAAATCCGTGCCTGAAATTAATTCAAAATCAAAAATATTTTATTCAATTTTGACCACTATAGTGGCACTTCATCATCATTATCTCAACCATAGGACGTCCTCTGCTGAACATAGGCCTCCCCCAATGCTTTTCATGTTGCCGTGTTGGTAGCGGCCAGCGTCCAGCATAGTGGCACTTATGAACGTCAAAATACAGCACTTGTACTTCATACATAATTATAAGGCTAGTTTTTTTCTTAAGAAGCCAGAATATATGCGAACAACAGCGTTATCTCAAAGCACATGAGCTTTAAAAGCCGTTGACCGCAAATCTTTGTAAGCTGACGATCGTTAGAGCGAAACCTCCTAAAGTTACTGTCTACTTGGTTGCACTTAGCACTAAACTTCCCAAACTTGAATTCCCATTATGAAATTTACGGGCATCAAAATAAAGGCGTTTATGCCACAACATCTCGTGGGTGGCTCGTACGTGCCGTTTTAGTTCTAGTAAAGTTGTGAATAAATTTCCAATATGCGAGCTTTCAGCTTGAACTTTGATCTCCCACAGTATTTTTTACATTAACAATAGCTTTAGATATCAGAAATCGTAAACGCAGTTCGTCATTTTACTGTTAATTCTTAGATGAAATTATAGGTATACAGATAGATATAAGTAATAGGATAACTTCGTTACAAAATATAAAGTCATGATATGTGAGAGTAGAGTTGTAAAAATATTTTATAACGTAGGCGTAGGCAAGAAACCGTACCTATATCTAGTAGCGACGAAGACTCTTCCTAAAAAATTGAGAACTAGTGTACCTATTCTAGATTAGACCTTGAATATTATATTAAAATGAATTGAACTTTTATACACAGGAGTAACACAATATCAAGAATATTTTTATAGCAAATAATATATTATAAACCGCTGGTAATAAGGCATCTTGAATTTATTTGGTCTATCCTAATAAAATACACACGAGAATTGGAAGTATCGGATAAAATATGATGAAATAGAAAGAATAAAATATGAGAAACTTGGTTATTGGCTTAGTATCTTATCTTGTGGGAGTGTGATCTTTGGAAACATGAACGTGATATAATGCTTAATTCAATACAACATACATCTGTTTCCGCAATTTATTACACCGATCTTGTCGCGACAAGGAAAAACTTCCGTGCTTTTAAGCGATTTTGTGAAAAATATTATTGGCAGGTAGTTGCTAATTGCTCATAAGATAGGCCCCCTTAATTTAATTTATTGTCCGTGGTGCATGATCTTTTTCTTAAAGGTTTTAAACCTTTGTTTGTCATCTGTCATCCGCTTTGCAATGGAGGGAAGTCGAACCTTAATTTCGAACTCCTCCTATGTTCTTCTGATTAATTTCGTTGCGGGTCCAATGACAGTTTAACTTTCCCCCGGGACAAACTTGACCTTCATTGGTTGGGTTTTTGTGGCGGTCAAGCTGTAGATCCTGGCTACACAGGAGTTGCAGTGGTGGGAACGAGAGGTGGGAATAGTCCCGTGTTTTTTTTTTTTTATTGGCTTAGTATTATTTGATAGGTAATATTTTCTTTTAGGAATTAACTTTTTATATTGTTAACACAATAACAAAAGTATGATATACACACAGTGCTTTCTTCGTGAAAATCGAATGAACAGAATTTGTCAATTTTGTAAATAACATTAGATAAAATTCTTCTGAAATATAAATTTTATAACGTACTGAGCTGTCGCTAGCGAATTCGCTGTTTTGTACGCGTGAAAATAGTTTGAGTAATATTTCCCTTTTTTGTGCAACATTTTTCTTTACTGCTCCGCCCCTATTGGCTGTAGGGCCTTCTTCGATAAATGGGCTATCTATTACAAAAATAACTTCAAATTCGACCAATAGTTCTTGAGAATAAAGCTCTTCAGCTTCAGAGCTAGCAACTCGTACCTTACACGATTTAAACTCAATGCGAATTTTTGCATTTATGCAGTGATGTGTAATCGTTGTAAGACGTCGTAAGACGTCATACTGGTTACAACCTGTGTCTTCTCATAATATACCTACATTTGTTTGTATATTGAACCGTTTTCCATTGTGTACACACACCGTAGGCGATGATCGGTACAATAGTATAATGTTTAGCATCACAAAGATTATAATAGAGATCGTTAATTGGATAGAGGACGTTTGAGAATAATCCCTTAATTCACTACTTTGCTTCGATAAAAGTATTCCTAATAGCTGCTATATAACAGTCAAAAATTTCATTCAAAGATCTCGTTTACTACGCTACAGCCCTTTTCATGTTTTCATAAGTTTCTCCGCACACTAACGAAACCAATTAGCTATAATTGAACTTCTTTTTCTTGTCTGGGGTTAACTACAAAGGTCACAACCCTAGTTTCAAACTAAACGAGTACTTGAGCTAACTACTGATAACAAAGTAACAATCTCTTTAAAAACACGAATAAAGTTCATGAGGCCGTTTAAAGTTCGTGTGTGTGTGAAAAGTTAAGGTTCGGCCAAACCAACGCGATCACACGCGATCAACCGGCGTGCAGCGATGGCGATCAATGCTTTTAGGTCTGGTCGCCATCGCTGCACGCCGGCTGATCGCGGTGTGATCGCGTTGGTTTGTCCGAACCCTTACGGTTACATTAAAAGCTACTAGCATAAATTGCAATTTGTGAAATTAATCGAATAACCATGTGGATTCGAATAAAGCCACTCTTTCCAAGGATCTCTTAAATAAATGAATAAAACTAAATAAAATAAAATAGTTTATTCAGTACATAGGCCCTTTCCAGGGCATTTGTACACGTCCCAAATATAGCTTGCCCTACCACCACTTCGACACAATATTATGGGCTGGTGCTGAGAAAAAGTGCTCTTTTTAAATCATATACGCCTAATTTCTAGCTTACACGTCAGAAGTGTGAGCTAGGCAGGTAAAGTCAACGCACTCTTGTCATTTAAATATTCGTTTACTTTATACTATCCTTTTCTACATAAGGATTTACGTATCCTGTTCTTTGAATTTTTATCGCCAGCTGTGTTGCCAGTTCGAATTCCGCTGGGAGCAAATGTTAGTTTGACTAGCACGTCTGAAGTCATAGACTTTATGTAGGTAGGTACATTATACAGGGCGATTTTGGAATCAGCATCCAAATTTTTTTAATAAGCTCTTTAGAACAATTTAACAAATACAACTTTATCTTAATTATTTCAATCGTGGTATTTTTCGCGAAAATCTATTTTTAAAGGTTAAGGCTTACTTTCGCATACAATGATGATTAATAATGCTTTGCAATTAACTGTGTGTACGTATTTTTCTATGAACAAAACAAATTATCCACGTGTGCCTATTTTGAAACCACGCACAGCGGATAAAAAAATAAAATAAAAAATGTTTTCTTTACGTAAATCGACTAAGTTAAAGTTACTGATTCTGAGTCTCTCCTAAAAAATTGGATACTGATTGCAAAGTCATCCTGTATACTTTTGAGTTTTGCTTTGCCTGTAGCTAGGTAATTGGTGATTGATCAAGAAACAGATACTTTCAAAATACGTTAGGACGCTCAATAAACAGTATAATACTTAATTAATTACTTTGAAATTCCCAGAAAGAGTTTTATTTCCGAATCGTAGGAATTATTGGAAAATAAAGAATTGAGACACCGGATCTGATTACGAAACACTCATCATTTTTATTACATCTGAGTAAAATTGCGAATTTTCATTAAGAAAGTTTAACTTTAGAGTGCCCAATTTTCATTAAAGAGTTTGAGCTACAAAGAAAATGTAAACATATCATAACTAACAACCGCTCGCGACTTCGTACGCGTAGACCCCGTTTTACCTCCTTAGGGGTTGAATTTTTCAAAATCACGTCTTAGGAGCACCTACGTTTTAAAAGGAACCCTCATGCAAAATTTGAGATTCCTAGGACTTGTAGTTTCTAAGATTTCATAACGAGGGACTGAGTCAGTCAATCAGTGACCTTTCGCTTTTATATTAGTAGAAAATGCTTTTATTTAATTCTCTGGATTTTGACTATTTTACCCTATACGGAAGTCTTAATTCATCAATTTAAAGGTACACAATGATTAACTATTTTATATTATTGGCTCAGCCCAAAGACTGTTAATGAAAAAACTTACTCTCTAATTAACTAAAACTCCAGGCTAAACGCCTACTTAATTAAAAACTCCTCAACAGGTTCGAAACAAAACGCCAAATGCGCGCGTCAGGAATTCCTTGAAACTTTCAGCTCGGGTCGTTATAATACACCATTAATATAAAGTATTGATTAGTTTTAAACTATCGACATGTTGAAATAATTGAATTCTTAAGATTTATACTTCGTTGTTAATACAACTTCTTCTTCAGTTATTAATAACCGATACGGAAGGAATATAATAAGGGTACTCAATAATTAGAGCGCTGACTCGCATTACTTGGTTATTTTCGCTTCAATTCACAGAACCCCCGCTCTTCTTATTAATAATGTGATTTGACGAGAAATAATGGGCACTTCTATACACTATACGTATTAATATGTTGAAGGAATAATGCTTAAGAAGGTATAATTTAAAACGACCTAAGACACAACAAACTTACAAAACACATTGTTTATGTCAAGGGGTTTATTCCTTATGCCCGGTTAAAATAATTTATTATATTTGTATTTTTAAATTAAACTAAAAATAATCCATAATGTTTATTTTAATTGGGAAAATATTTCGCAATTTTCAATTCCTTAATGACCTTGATAATAATGATGTCAGCCAAAACGGGACCTCGTAATATTTTGAGTGATGCCACTTAAATCGGTTGAGGAGTAATCAAAAACTCATCGTCCCGACGGGACAGCAAAGGATAATAGCAACGTTACCCAATGAGAACAAACATTTTATTTTTAAGCAATGCAAAATATTATAAACTTAGGACTAGTTGTACCATGTAAATCAAGCCATCATGCATAACTGCAAGCTATTTTTTCCTTGGAATGTATTTCACATAAAAATATTTTTACGATTCTAAAATCTACAGCGACCATCATATAAAGGTCGGATAGTACTGAACGTATTATTTTATCAAATATTTTGACCTACAGATATCATGAATCGTGATTCGTGATGAAACACGACTCTAAAACATCGAATGAGCTCAAACTTTTTATTGATTAACCGTTTTATCTTGGCGTTGCAATAGCAAAACGAAAATAGGTGGTCGGGTCGGGAACTCGATAGAGTTGATTTTGCCAGTAATGATCGCTGGCAGACATTCAAGGCACTGCTGTGCAAATTCTTACTTAGATAGCCCAAATTGCTTATTTACGTTTCTTGAATGTAAAGTATTTTTCAATTGCTAAACTTTTTTCTAAAATGAGATGAAAAAGGTTTTAGCACTGGTAGCTAGATACACTTGGAGGAAACTTGTTGTTTTAGTTTTTTGTCTGTAAGACAAACGATTATTTTTACAGCTGATAGTCATCACCCTTGTTCTAAACCTACTTTCAAAGTTAAGTACGAGTAGAGTCAATTTAAAAAAACATTGAATTTGAATCGGTTTTTGTGTCTCTGGGAGCTAGGACTATCTCCCAAAGAAAGTTGCTGATTTTTTTTCCGAATTTAACAATTTATTTGTTTAATCGTGACTTTTCACTCGAAAAATTAACTGCCTGAGGAGGTCTCTACATCTTTTAAATTATTTTCGACTGCACCAAAACATTCTTATGATCATTGACCTACATAACTAGTCAAAGATTGTCCTCCAAATTATTATACATTGCTTACCAAGGTATTCGTGATTACCCTACATAAAGTTTGACCTTAGACAAGGGTTCTAACTTCTAAGCGACTGTCAAAATATTATCCAGCTGAAACTACAAAGGCTGGAGAGTTATTTTTATATTAATAGAGGCAAGTAAACATGATTTCGGAAGCTACAACGGAAGATAGAGAGTCGGTAAAATAATGAAGTACAAATTATTTGCAAAATTCCCGACTAAAATAAACAATTTCATATTTAGCTGACATAGTAGAGGCTTAAACTCAATGTTTATTAATTCGCAAATCCTAAAAACATCGTTAATATTTATAGATAATTATTATAAGATTTAAATTTGATCACAAGACGTCCACTGCTGAATATAGGCCAAATTGTTTAACATCCTTAGATTGTTTCCAATTTGCATAACCTAAATTGATGAATAATAATGAAGTATTGTTCTGAATCATTCTCTCCATTAATCGAGATAATGTTCGTTCCCAGATTGGTACGAGCTGATTATTAATTTTGAATTTATGTAAACATTTGTAATATTGACATTATAATTATAATAATCACGTGGTAAAATAATTATTTCAACATATTTTAAACGTCATTCTCTTTTTAGGCTAAGTTGCACCATCTAATTTTAACAGTAACTTTAACGATAACCGGTGTTTTTGTTTGTTAAAGTTACCCAACCTAAGTAGGTAAAGTAAAATGTAAGTAATATCCATTTGATACGTCATCCCATAACGGAAGATAAATAAAAAGATATTCATTTATTTTCAAAAAGCGACCATTTCAAAGTATCTTTTGATTCCAAAGTGTAACATTTAATATACCAATGCTTTTGAATCGCACGTTTCCGAGCTCAATAGTGCCTGCGGAATTAAACATTGATACAATAGCTCCTCGTCCGTACAGTATTCAATGATACATATGAGTATAATATTGAAATGGAATAAAACCTTCTTTTGAGCAAAGTGAAAATAAGTATGTAGTCGATTTAATTTCTCTCCAAAACAAAAATCGTGATTCATTTTTGTCGCAAATTACTGAAAGGTCATTTGTTTCTCATTAACCAAACTTTATTTTTAGCAATTAACAAATCTCAAATAATTGATCAAGCCAAGTTATGAGCAAGACCGATATCAATGACTTGCGATTCGTCAAATCGAGCGTAACGACCGAACTTCACGAACACCTCGCCGGTCCTAACGGTCGAGACCTCAAAAAGCATTCAAATCAATTACTCCAACCAATTTACAGCTACGGTTCAGTGGTGTTGACTCTTTAATTAAAGGAGAGCAAAGAACCTTTGAATTTGATGTTGCTTGTATCGAAATGGAAAGTCGAAAAAGGATTAAAGAAAAATTTAAATTTCACCAATTGATAGAGTAATTTGAGGAAGGTTTAGGTGAGACGTCAAATATTTTTTTATAAAGAATATTAGCAATTTGTAAATACCAATTACTTATAATCCCATAAACCCTTCGTGAGCTAAATATTTTCGCGGCTGAAGTCGAGGGCAACATCTATAAGAATATAAATATCTTTGAACATTTTACACTGCGTCATTTAGTCCCTAACTAAGCTAAGACTAAGGTTAAGGCTTGTATCTTTGGGTACCAGTCATTCACAGATGAGACGTCATTCAGCCAATCGCAGGGAATGTTCTAGAATCTAGATCTACAACGCCCCGATAAACCCTATTCAGCTATTGTCTGAACAGACTCTTCGGAAGGCTCCGATAGGTTCCAATTACAGGCTACTATTGTCTACTGCTGCTTAGAAATAAATGATTCTGAGCGCATGGGTTGATTAACTTAAAGAACAATAAATAGTGACAACGAATTATCGGTTTCCTTAACCCTTAAAGGTTTAAAAACCTCGCGAATTGAGAATTCGAGACACAATTGAAATGAATTTGTATGCGGTCTTATGCAACCGTTTGAGGTTTAATGGGTTAATCGATATGAGTTTAAGTGTCTCGATTACAACTTTAACGGACCATCTGCTCCATCACTCGCTCTAAATTAGTAGCAATTGGGTAAATGATACGCAATCAAAATCTTAATTTAAGATTAAATCTGAGTTGCACCACCAAACTTTGACCGAAACTATACCGATAACCGTTGATTTTTGTATGGAGTTTGACAGATTTTTGACGTTTGTTACAGTCGAAGTAAGATGGTGCAACCCAGCCTAAAAGTCTTTGTCTATAAATTCTTACATTTTCTCTCTTTTGTTCATAACGGTGCAAGCTGAAGATCTGTAGAAAATAATTATTATAACTACACATATCCTCACTGCATAACTTTTCTTTACAACATGTTAAAAGTGACATTTCCAAGTTCTGAACAATCAATAAATTCAATAGAATAGTTACATTCAGCTTGTGCTTTGACCCAAATTAAGTAGATTACTTTAGTTTGATTTGTACCACCAATACCCCTTTGTAAACTTCAAATGAGTAACGTTTACTTTACTAACATTGATGGACGAAGTTTGACATGTCAATAGATAATGTAATAATATGTCGATTCAGCCCTGAACTGAATAGGAAGTTAGGTAAATGAATTCTGAATAATTTGATTTGCTTTTTTTTCTATTGGCTTAAAACCAAAAAACGTTTGTAGACCGAAGGCGTTGGAAAAAAGGTAGCGTCGAGTTTTTTTTTTTATATAAATTTATATAGACTTGAATTAACCTTTAACTACTGACGTGGGGGCCTCTCAGGCCTTGCAAAAGTCAAATTGTTGAATTTCTCCTCTCCCACGTGCACGACACACGCGAATCTTTTAGTACCTTCAAGTTTCATTGCGCCGAGGCTGTCAACAAACAGTGCACGTTATTGCACGCGCAATATCAGTAGGTAAATTAATTTTAAAGTTTCTTGTGGGCCTCTCAGGCCCCCACCTCAGTATTGGCGTAACTTTTTTTATCTATAGTTTTCATTTAGTTGTCGTCTTTTCTTGAAATAATTTGACTAAATCTATAATATGGAGCCCACAGTACGTCGTCCGAGAGAAAGCGGTATCTCGGAAGTAAAAATAACCAGCATTTAACGAAAAAATAGAAGAACAGTAGTTTTTGGCACGTATGCTAGGAAATGATAAGCCTGTAGCTGTCTATCAAGATTTAAACGATGAAACCAAGTGCCATACATGTATTTTGAAGACTCAAATTAAATCTACATTTTAAAAATATGTATGGCTTCCTTCACTGACCAAAGCAAGTTTATTCAGACTGTGTTTAATTCGCACTATTTGATGTGTGTAATTTTTTCCCCCCTTTTTCATATTAGGATTACTGATATATCATTAGCTAAAAAGACTATTGAAAATTAAGATTCTAAGTTGATTTGTTGAATTTATGAATATTTTTCATGATTACTTTATGAATCATGATTTCATGAGATTTTTGCCAAAAAATGCTACATGTTCTCTTAATATTGAAATAATACGTACTTATTAACAAATAATTTACATAAAAATCGTTTTATTGTATTGAAATATAACCACTATTAATAATTATTAAACATAAAACCCTAAAAAGATTATATATTTTTAAATATAAGCACACATATGTACGGGCCTCTCAGGCCCCCACGTCAGTGTTTACGTGAAATTAAATCCACCTCAGTAGCTAAAGGTTAATCTAATTGCAATTTTATTAATTACGTAGGTACGTAGGGTTGTTTTGTGATAAAACTTATGGACATTGATTGCAATAGTAACTGAATATGAACATCATGACTGTAATTGATTGTAATCTTGTTTCTTTACTGCATGCTAAGATGTATTTAGCGAAACATGGACTTTATTTTATGTACCTATATTTGACCATCATTATGTTACCTGTTTCTGGCAAATAAATAAATTTGAATTTGAATTTGAATAATATAAACACGATTTCACTTTTTTATTCTTAACTGGGTTTTTATATAAACAAAAAACAGTAAACGTATGTAATTTGTAGAATCTTTCAAACTTTTCTGGGAACGTCCAATTTCCAAGAACCTTCTTCGGCAGTAGAGCACTTTAAAATAAAAATGACACGGATGATGTCAATCGCAAAAAGCTGTACTTTTTCTTGGTATCATTAATAAGTACGTTGCCAGATTGACAACTAATAGATAAAACTCAGTTAAAAGGTAAAAAATATATATTTGTAGGCGAGAGTTTCATACACATTAAGTAAATGGTTTTCCTTACTGATCTAAACCTTATTTAAAGTTCAAGTCGATAAAAATAAAAAAATATTTCAAAAATTATGTTGATATGTCCCAAGTGATGTTACAGTTGAAAAAGTTTCACAAGTTATTACAATAGATTTTTATCACATTTTACGTACAAAATGCTTTCCAATTTCATGACGCAAACGATACAAATGCCATTTTGCTTTATCGTTTACTACTACTACGGCACCTAATGGCTTCTGACGGCCTAAAAGTTTTTATATTTTTTATATTTAAAATTATATCTACCTAAATGTGTTCAAAGGAAAATTGGGATGTAGCATTTAATGAATAAAGCTGAAGTATTCTATATTAAAAAATAACTCGACTTTGGATTCTGGAAACTATTTTTAGAATAAGAATAAGAATAAGAATACATTTATTTGCTTAAAACACGGTATATACAGATGTTACACAGAAAAATGTTCAGTCATGTTTTGCTTACACGAAGCATGCAAATATTAATTTTGGGCCAAAAAACCCAGTCATGTTAAAGGTACATACATTAGTGCTAAATATTGTTACATAATCATTATATTCAAAACTCTCGGTCATTAAGGAACTCTGTGACACTATAATAGTTTTTACTTTTAAGCCATCCACGCAGTTTATTTGAAAATTGGCTAGAATTTAATGTTTTTATACTTTTTGGTATTTTATTATATATTCTAACACACATTGCTACACAATTTCGGTTATATTTCTCAGATCTAGGTATGACTTCCAGAACAAGTCTATCTGGGTCTCTACGGGTTCGCAAATTTATATCGCAGACTCTTTTGAACAACGTAAAATGTTTCTTGACAAAAGTACATATTTCTAAAATATACAAAGACGGTAATGGTAACAAACCAAACTCTATAAATAAGGGTCTACACGATTTGTCGGATGGTATCCCAGCTATAGCTCTAATACATTTTTTTTGCGCGATGAAGGCTCTATTAAAATCTGTACTATTTCCCCACGCTATGAGGCCGTAGCGCAGAATCGATTCAACATAGGCATGGTAAGACACTAGTGCTGTTGATATATTAGTCACTTTCCTAACTTGTTTCAATGCATATACAAACCGATTGATTCTTATACAGAGATCATCTACATGTGCCTTCCAATTAATGTCTTGGTCGATTGTTATACCTAAAAATTTTGTTTCGGATGCCTTCTTGATTGCTACATTTCCAACATTTATATTTAAATTAAAATTATATTGTAAGTGTTTGGATTGATTAAATTGTATGTAATTAGTTTTATTCAGATTAATTGTCAAATTATTGTTGTCAAGCCATTGGATAGTATTATGTAAAGTATTGTTTATGTCAATTTCGTGGTCCTTAATTGTATTTATTTTTTTGTCAGTGGTTATAATTATTGTAATGTCATCAGCAAATAGAATACATTTATGATTTGTTACGTCAGATAAATTATTTATGTATAATAAGAATAGGGTGGGTCCCAATACACTCCCTTGTGGGACTCCACTCTTGTTTTGTCTTTCGTCAGACGAGTAAAATAAAAGATCTTTATTTTTGGTTAATCCGCTAATGACTACTTTCTGTTTGCGGTTTGATAAGTATGATGCAAGCCATGTGTACGCAGGCCCCCTAATGCCAACTTCATGAATTTTGGTAAGTAGTTTCTCATGGGAGATATGGTCGAATGCTTTCGACAAATCAAGAATCAGATCTAGGTATGACTTCCAGAACAAGTCTATCTGGGTCTCTACGGGTTCGCAAATTTATATCGCAGACTCTTTTGAACAACGTAAAATGTTTCTTGACAAAAGTACATATTTCTAAAATATACAAAGACGGTAATGGTAACAAACCAAACTCTATAAATAAGGGTCTACACGATTTGTCGGATGGTATCCCAGCTATAGCTCTAATACATTTTTTTTGCGCGATGAAGGCTCTATTAAAATCTGTACTATTTCCCCACGCTATGAGGCCGTAGCGCAGAATCGATTCAACATAGGCATGGTAAGACACTAGTGCTGTTGATATATTAGTCACTTTCCTAACTTGTTTCAATGCATATACAAACCGATTGATTCTTATACAGAGATCATCTACATGTGCCTTCCAATTAATGTCTTGGTCGATTGTTATACCTAAAAATTTTGTTTCGGATGCCTTCTTGATTGCTACATTTCCAACATTTATATTTAAATTAAAATTATATTGTAAGTGTTTGGATTGATTAAATTGTATGTAATTAGTTTTATTCAGATTAATTGTCAAATTATTGTTGTCAAGCCATTGGATAGTATTATGTAAAGTATTGTTTATGTCAATTTCGTGGTCCTTAATTGTATTTATTTTTTTGTCAGTGGTTATAATTATTGTAATGTCATCAGCAAATAGAATACATTTATGATTTGTTACGTCAGATAAATTATTTATGTATAATAAGAATAGGGTGGGTCCCAATACACTCCCTTGTGGGACTCCACTCTTGTTTTGTCTTTCGTCAGACGAGTAAAATAAAAGATCTTTATTTTTGGTTAATCCGCTAATGACTACTTTCTGTTTGCGGTTTGATAAGTATGATGCAAGCCATGTGTACGCAGGCCCCCTAATGCCAACTTCATGAATTTTGGTAAGTAGTTTCTCATGGGAGATATGGTCGAATGCTTTCGACAAATCAAGAAACAGTGCAGTAGTCAACTTATCGTCATTCACACTATTTAAAACATGATGCATTAGCGAAAAAATTGCTGTAGAAGTTGATTTCAATTTTTGAAAGCCGTACTGTTCACTGTTGATTAAATTGTATTTGGTTATGAAGTTTGTGAGTCTATCATGCATACACTTTTCAAATAATTTTGACCAAACTGAAATCAAGGTGATCGGGCGATAATTGTCAACACATTCTTTACACCCCTTTTTATGAAGTGGCTTTACGATAGATAATTTTAACACCTCTGGAAAAATTCCCGATTCAAATGAGAAGTTTACCAGATGAGTCACAACTGCTATAATTTTTTCAATGCAAGTTTTCAATATTTTTGTAGTAATTTCGTCATAGCCCACTGATTGTGTACCTTTTAAGGACATAACTATACTTTTAATTTCCTTACGTGTCATAGGTTTCAAAAATATTGAGTTACTTTGTTTATTTTTGTTATTAATTAACACATTACGTTTATTATTTATATTCGAAGTCAAATTAATGAAATGTCCATTAAATGCATTTGCAATGTCTGTAGGGTCCGTTATAATAACATTATCAATTTTTATATTGTCAATACTATTTAGATTCATGTTATTGCCTATTTCATTTTTAATTATAGTCCACGATGCTCTACATTTATTATTGCTGTTATTTATATATTTAATGTTAGCATTCTTTCTTGATTTAGTTATACATTTTTGTAGGATGTTAGAGTATATTTTGTATTTATTTTTGCTTAAATTTGATTTATATTTGTAATGTTGGTAACGTAAGTATCTTTTTCTCTTGCAACTAACTCGAAGGCCATTACTAATCCAATTATGTCTCGTTTTCTTAATATTGTTTACCTTTTTTTTAACTTTTGGAAAACATAATTTATAAAGTAGGCAAAACAATTCGTGGAACTCACTAAAAGCTTTGTTAAAGTCTGTCTCTGCATATACATTTGACCAAGAGAGACTAGCTAGACACTTTTCAAATTTACTCATATTTTCAGGACTGTAGTCTCTCACATAAATGTAATGAAAGGCCGGTTTTAATTGTTTACACTTAATGGGAAAGCTTATCATTTGTGCTGTATTATGGTCCGAGAGGTGCAGAGGCAGTACTGAGGCGTTTGCTTTAACTATGTTACTTAAAATAAGATCTATACACGAAGATTTCCGTGTAGGAACATTAATATGATTTGTTAGGTTATAGTTATATAATACATCTTGAAAGTATTTGGTAATTGAATTTTGTTTTAATATGTTAATGTTAAAATCACCTACTATAATCACATTACCTTTGAACTTGTTCTTTTTAAACATTTCGAATAGTAGNGGGCGATAATTGTCAACACATTCTTTACACCCCTTTTTATGAAGTGGCTTTACGATAGATAATTTTAACACCTCTGGAAAAATTCCCGATTCAAATGAGAAGTTTACCAGATGAGTCACAACTGCTATAATTTTTTCAATGCAAGTTTTCAATATTTTTGTAGTAATTTCGTCATAGCCCACTGATTGTGTACCTTTTAAGGACATAACTATACTTTTAATTTCCTTACGTGTCATAGGTTTCAAAAATATTGAGTTACTTTGTTTATTTTTGTTATTAATTAACACATTACGTTTATTATTTATATTCGAAGTCAAATTAATGAAATGTCCATTAAATGCATTTGCAATGTCTGTAGGGTCCGTTATAATAACATTATCAATTTTTATATTGTCAATACTATTTAGATTCATGTTATTGCCTATTTCATTTTATTGAGCTTAATTCTTCGGTTTATTTAGTGAGCTTAATTCTTCGGATACTGCTTATAAAATAAGTTGATTAGGCAGTAACTACTCAACTTATACTCTTTTGATCTTCCATAAAATTGTTGTTGAGAGGGGCAAATAGATGTCAACGTTATAATATTTTCATACAAATACGTTCGTAGCAACAAACTACTATTTACAACTCTAAACTATTGCTTTAATTGGCGTGCTTGTAAACTCGAGCACTTCTAATAAACCGAGGCAAATATTCCAAACTTTACCTACACGGGAATTTCGTTTCTTGCTACATATTTGAGTATATAGCTAAAAGCAGATTCTATCTCCAATTGAGTTCTTGTAGAGCCTTAGAAACAGCTGACAAACGATTAATTGATCTTTTGTCTCGACATCTGCGGAGAATACCTATTCATATTGTGGTGTTGATTGATATTCTCGAGTCCTGAATTTAGTAGTGTTCTCAGAACTGACTACTATAATAATAATTATCAATCATCCTAACCACTAAAGGTTGTCAACCTAAAACTATGTTCCTCGTGAAGTTACTCTGATAAAGCGAAAAACGCATGACTATAACGGCATTAAAATCTATTAATCACTAGTATCTTCTTCAACAAATTATGGGCATTGATTTTCTGTAATCTTTATAATAAGTTAGTTTTACTACATAATAATAATATTAAATACTAGAATAATATCATAGCGAAAAACTGCTACTCACTGTTGACAAATTACGAGTATATCAGCCGCTAGTAAGAAAATAAAGCTACAAATAACTGCCCACTTTGCTCTTTATACTCGTAGTTAATTAGGGTTGCCCTCCCTTTTGACATTATACTGTAGTGCCTCTTAGTACAGTTTTAGTAAACCAGCCGAACCCTAACAAAAAATCTGCCGATATTTCCTTACAAATTACATCGTCTTATGAGTTGAGTAATTGGTCCTTTAGTTATGGTATGTATAAACATCATATCGGTACAGTAAATATTCGGATAATCTGAACAAATGACGAAGCATTTTGCCATTCTACGACGTTTAGAAAAGATTTTCATTTGGGACGATGAAATGGGACAATTCAGAGTGGGCGTCTTGTCGTTGAAACAAACGAACGATGGCTTTTCGTATTTCTATTGTTTACTTTGTCACATGTTGAATTTGGTTTCCAAATAGATTGCGAGTTACGACTAAAAGGTAGTATTTTTGATAAAACAATAAATTAATCAAAATAGCTTATTTACTCGTGTACAAATTTAATAAGCTAATTAGCGAATTTAAATCAAAATTGAGAGAATAGATAGGTTCCGCTATCCGGTACATTTGTTATTCATTTTACCTTTATTGATTTGTAATCAATACCTCATATGTAGGTCACATTAGATTAGAGGAAGTTGGGTTTTATTTACATGTATTAAAATTCAAAGTCGTTCATGTACAAACTTCCTAGTTAAACTGCACCATTCAAATGTGGATTTTCAGTCAAATATCTGCTCTATCTATGTAAATTAGATGCAAATGTCGCGACCGAAATATCAGAACTTTGTAGACGCCAGCTTGACGCATTCACGACCGAATATATTACGCTATTTGTATAATATGTTAACCCAAGAATATTCTACATTATTTGAATTGTCGATGTTCCATTTATTATCACTATTTTGACTGTACATCTAGTAGGTACATCTTTTTCATCTATCACACCATGATCTTTGTTTTGATTCTGTAAGATATTCCATTTGTAACTTTCGATAGTCTTCCTATTATAGAATTTGATGTCTTTCCAATACTTCTTACAAACAAGTCTTTATCCTCTAATAAGGGCTCTCGCGGAAGACCAGTTTCTTGACATGCCCTTACGAGCATGTCAGGATAAATGCTGAGCGGGAGCCTATTGACACAGTGGCCCACTATTTTCTATATTCGTTTTGTGTTGTTAATGTTTATAATAATTTTGAGCTTACTGTGTTCAATAAAGTCTATTTCTTTCTCTTTCTTTCTATTCTGGTGCCAGTCAAACTTTGTCATTGTCGTATTAACATATGTTTTCTACTTGAATTCTCTAACAATTATGATGACAATTTCATTAATATTAATGGTTCTTCTTTCAACGCAACAATATTCATCTTCGCGATGGATTCACGTCAAAATTTCCATTGTAGAGCTTTAATTTGTCAAACTAGACAGCACCTGTCGCAATTTAGCGTTCATTAAAAGTTTATTAACGAAACTCAATCGAAGTTTGCCCATTTCCGATGATAGGCTGGTAATACCCACCCTGAATGTAACAGCCAGCTCATAACTTAATTCCTATTATTTGAGAAATCTCGTTGATTAAAAAAATAAACTGCGTTTTAAAAAACCGACTTTAAAAAAAATTAACTGTCTCCAAAAAAAGTACACTAAAAAGTAGAAAAATAATTATTCTACATTATTACTTATTTATTTAATTAGGACAATTATTATGACCATGAATGATATTTTTGGAGTCGGTGCCGGTAAATTTAGTACCTACTTAGCATTTTGCAAACTGGCACCGACTCTGCTGCTCAGAAACTCTATGGAAATATCAAGTTACTAGTTTTTATCATTTACGATAACGGCCTTTAAAAGAATAAGTATTAGTAAGGCTCGAATAATTCCACCCAGCGCTTCCCTCGAATAAAAATTAGAGGGGCGCGTCTCCATGGGTGACACTGTCTCCATTTATTTGTCAAAGTTAATTCTGATCTTAGGAGCTCAAAGCCCATTCTCAACTTGATCTCATTAAATACGGTTTCACTACCTCTTTCATTCAAAACCTTTTACACCAACTGAATGGTAATGAATACAATTCACGAATAAATACGTTTCTTGACAATCGCGTTTCGCGCGGCCTTTCCAAAGCTTTCATACAATTACTCAGTCCCAAAATAGATCACAAATCAGGCGCCTTCTCAATGAAAATTGAAAATGTGACAAAAGTCCTATAAATTTATAATTTTATTATATTTTATTTACAGCATTCACGAGAAAGGCATTACAGATTTATTGTTTCATGGAATTTTCCAGCAGAACAAGTTTGTTTCCGATTCGTAACACAACTGCAGAGGGCATATTGATATTATTTTAATTAAAGTGACCACAAAGTTTTTGATTAAAAGCTACACGTAATAAATTACTTGAATATATCGACACTATTTAAATAAAAACAAATACTTTTTGTGACTTCAAATAAATACGTGTAATTCTCTAGCATTAAGCATTGATCTGTTACCTAAGTATCTAAAATTGAACCAATTCAAGTACTGATCTGTGCTCGATCTGAAAAAGAGGCTGACAAAAGGTTACTTCACTTTCTTCCGACACTTCTCAGCACCAGCCCGTATGTTGTCCCGAAGTGGTAGTTAGGGCAAGCTATTTGGGACGTGTATAAGCGCCCTGGAAAGTCTTACTGAATAAATAAAACTTTGAAAGTAAACTTCGAATCTCAAAAGCGAGTTTTTAGCGTCTTTGCCCTATCTTCTTGTCGTGTCTACAACAAACTTACAAAATGTCAGCCCAAAACTCTGCTACAAGAGTGGCGTTGTCAGTAGCATTATTAAATCTTCCTGCATACAGTTGTTTGAGCACGCAGGGCACGATATCATGTGCTTCATCAACTTATAAGCCTTGTAAGTGTGCCTTTTTTGCCTTATACGATTATACTAGTATTTGTAATTCTATTCCACGTTGTATAAATCTATAAGTTCTTGCATAAGGGTCGCGTCAGTCGCAGTTATGTACTGCATTGGACAGCCGAGTCAATATCCCGATATTTCTAGCCAGTCGGGTGGCAGCTGCAGCTTGATTTGAAATGTGATTCTCGGCTCGACTGCAGAGGAAAGTAATTGGGTCAACAGATTGATTTGATATCTTTAGGTTTATTATTCTTTGGTTATTGTGGATTGCGCTTAGCTAAAACGATGCTTAATTTATTAATAACCTTATTTCTCATTTATGAGGGTACAAAACCTGCAACCTTTACCTTACATGTAAGAGTGCTTTAAGAGCCTACTTACAAAAATATAATTAATTTCATTTTTGCATTCAATGCAGTACTAAGAGTTGTAGAATTGTATGTATAGATCAGCAC